AGAAGAGTCTTATATATTATTTATTAATATATATATATTATAGATTAGAGTTTCTTTAAAATCTTTTTAATTATAATTTAATTTTAGTATATTTTAATATTCTAGAATTAATTATTTAATTATTAAAAAATATATTATATATATATATTATAATTTTCTAGTTTTTATAAATATTATATTATTTTTTATAAATTTTATTATATATTTTAAAATATAGAATAGCTTTTTATATTTTATTATTTAATAATTTAATTAAATATTACTTAAATCTTTAAGATATTATATAAATTTATATATTAACTAATATATTTATTATTTTATATTATAATAAAATATTATTAAATTTTACTATAATATTATTAGATTATTAATTATATATAATAAAGTAATATTAAAGTTAATTTATATAAAATTTTATAATAAAGTTATATATATTTCTTTTTAATTATAATATCTAGATATTATTAAAAATAATAATATATAATTTATCTTTTTTTATCTATTTAATAATATTTCAATAATATTTAAAAATTTCAGCATATAATGCAATTAGAAAGACGGTCAGATAACCACTAGTGGCTTTTTGGTTGAACGGTAGTTTTTACCGTTACAATAAAAAATATTTTATTTTTTTATATAGAAATACTAGTTTAAATATTTATATAAATTATATTTTATAATTTTTTTTATATAGAGATATTTTTTAGAAATTTTATTTTTTAATTTTTAAAATTATTTAATCTTAAAAATTAATTAATTTATAATATTTTTAGAAAAGATTATATTATAAATTAAATATTTTAAACTAATATTTCTATATTTATATAAATAATTTTAATATATATATTTAATTTTATTTTTAGAGCTTTTTATTTTTTTATAATAATATTAATTTAATATATTATATGACTATTTTTTTTTAAAAAAAAGTTTTTTTAAGATTTTCATTAATTTATAATTTTTTTTTATTTTATATTAAATTTTAAAATTAGAATAAATCCCTTTTTATTATTTTAGAAATTAAATATAAGTTTATAATATTATTTTTTTTTATTATTTATTATTTCTAGATTTTTTTTTATAATAAAAATCTATATTTTTATATTATTTTATATAATAGAGATTATTTAATTTTATATATTATAATACTATATTTATTTTTAAAATTTAAATTTTATTATAATTATATATATGTGTTAGCCACGCCAACCATGATCCCGTGATCTAACCCATAGACCAAAAAAGGTCCTGAGAAACTGCTCACTAAGCAGTTTCTAGTTCATGGTGATATATAAACCTAACCATGTGGCTCAACTTTGCCTGAATCCTAAGGCACACACACATGATCCATCACATGGTAAATCACATGCTTGCTCTTCATGTGATCACATATATCAGGTCTCTAAAAGAAAGAGTAATTAAAATTATAAAATTATAATATTAATATAGTAGCTTTCTAGAGATTATAAAAATATAATATATAATTAATAAAAAATAAATTTATATTTAATAGAATTAATTGCTAGTTTTTCTAGCGAAGAACTAGTAGTATAATATATATTTATATATTATATAGTAGCTACTAGTTACTATAGTAAATCTCAGGTATGCTTATATAGCATCTATAGATAGTGGCACATAATAGAATAGCTAGAAAAGATAATTAATTAAATAAAATAAATAGTTTTATAGAAATAGCAGGTCTAGAATAACTAACTAATTATTTGCTAAGCTGAATTAATACTAATTTAAATAGAGTAAAATAAGATAATAATAGTAAGCATACTATAATAATAACTTACTAAGGGCAAGCAGGCAGGCATTGCCACACTTCTTATTTAACTAATTATAAAAATAGTACCTACTTTTTTAAATGGTATAGTAGTTAGTTAAATTACTTTAGTATTTCAACACATGGACAGTTAATGAGGTATATAACTCAGGTAGGGTACATGACTCGGTGGGGTTTATGTTAAGGGTGTGGTGGCCGCTGCAGCCCTTTTAGTGAAGCAGTAAAATTGCTCCACAACTTCTACAATTTAAATATTATACTCTTATTCTTATATATTAAAACTAACTCCTACTTATACCATAAAAATAGCTTATATTTGGAATAAGTTAATATTTTTATTTTCTAAATCAGGTGTTTTTATCTTTTTTTTTTTGAAATTTTCCTAACAGGTCGCCATAGAGGCCATACCCACCATGCCCCGCTCTCCTCCCGTATTTTATATTTTAGGATAGCCACAGCTGCACAGCAGGCCTGCACACCTGCCATGAAATCCGTTACTATCAAGTAGCTGAATCACCCAGACACCCTGAATATTCAACTGGCCCATATGTAAGTTAGTTGCAACCCTATATGTATTTCTATACTCATGTGAACCAGACAGCCAAAAATGGTTTTAGAAGCCATAAAATACCAAGACGGCAAACTTGCCATCATCGACCAGCTCCAACTACCATTTGTGGAGCAGTATGTTGATGTAAGAACAAGTGAAGAAGGGTGGCAGGCCATCAAGAAGATGCAAGTTCGAGGAGCACCTGCCATTGCCATTGTGGCAGCCCTTTCACTCGCATCTGAAATCCAATCGTTGTCCAGACAGGGGAAATTGCCGCCCAGTGCGGAGGAGGTCAGCGTATTCGTCATTGAGCGGCTTAATTATCTTGTGAGCAGTCGACCAACGGCAGTAAATCTTGGCGACGCGGCGCATAAACTCAATATGATTGTGTCCAAAACTTCGAAAAGCCCTGCATCAACAGCCCAGGATGTTGCGAACGCATTCATCAAAACTGCGGAAAGCATGTTGACAAAAGATCTCGACGATAATACACAAATTGGTGAAAATGGTGCTGCATGGATATTAGCAAACGCACTCACACCACAGCGTTCCAAAGCAGTTGTTTTGACGCACTGCAACACTGGGTATGTCCAGACGTGGACGCATTGCGTATCCAATAATTCACTAACTTGAATAAAATATAGCTCCCTTGCAACATCTGGTTATGGTACTGCGCTCGGAGTAATACGATCTCTCATGTCAAGAGGCGGGTTGCAACATGCCTACTGCACTGAAACTAGGCCGTATAACCAAGGCTCGCGTCTAACAGCGTTTGAACTTGCGCATGATAGAATTCCTGCAACTCTAATCACAGATTCAATGGCTGCGGCTCTACTATCAAGACCGGGAACCGGTGTTACTGCGATCGTCGTTGGCGCGGATCGAGTCGCAGCGAATGGTGATACCGCAAACAAAATTGGCACATACGGCCTAGCGGTATTGGCCAGGCACCACGGGGTGAAGTTTCTGGTTGCTGCACCACTCACGACAATTGATGTGGCAACAAAATCTGGGGACGATATTATCATAGAGGAACGGCCACCTTTGGAGGTGACGAGAATTAAAGGTTTACAGGAAGATGATGTCACCGGTGACTTGAAATTGGGTACGGTTAGAATCGCCGCTGAAGGCATAAATGTTTGGAATCCTGCCTTTGATATTACACCATCTGCGCTTATCGATGGGATAATAACAGAGAAGGGAGTTGCAGAAAAGGACGAGGAAGGATATTTTCATTTGGGAGAACTTTTTGAATGATCAGCATTCGCTGCTCCAGCGTCCAAACGAGCCTCCTCATCATTGGTATCCGTCAGTGCCGAACCAGCGTTTCGATTTTGCGATTCATGTAATAGGCTGTCGAGTTTGCTCTCTAGATCACCCAGATGTTGCTCAAGGAGCGATGCTGCTTGCTCCCCGCTATCAACGAGTTAACTGCGCACCATTGTTTGTACATGGGACATATGTAGATACCTTAAGATATCTTTTAGTACCTACACACAATAGATGATGAGTACCCGCTTCCAAATATAATATGGGATATCGATATTACAAGGAGCGAATGTAGATTCTATGCCTGATAAGATTCGACTTACATCTGCAAGATTAATATCAAATGTCCTCTCATTATCTCCAGTCGTCTCTGGCATGACTAGAAGTTGATAAAGTGTTCTTGCTCGGTATAAAAAAATAATTGCAGATAAATTGTTCTGTGATATAAAATTGCATGTGGTTGTGGGCTCCTAGATTTGATAGAGAACGACCCACTAATATACACTAGCCTCGGGACTCAGAAGGCGGTCCGACAGATTGAATGACCTACAGTGTACATATGTAATTACTCTGTACAATCATCAACACTGTGGTTGACACTGTCCAGCTTACAGCATAACCCCCATATTGAATATATACTACCCGGCCGCACCGCACGTGCCTTGATTATACCAAGAGTACTCAGGTGCATTCGGGTGCATTCGTAGGAGAAATAGCAAGGTTGGATCTTTGTGACTTGTCACAACCATACTGTATTACCACCCCACTTGAGCTCGACTATCTATCTTACCAGTAAGTGCGTCCTGATTCAACGGGCCATTTGGCAATCATCCAAAAAAGGCAATTGATTAATTTACCCCGCAAATAGCTACAGCGAGTATGAGGTCATGAGCCTGTTACTAAGGCATTTAACAACTGCGAGTATCGATAGAAGAGAACTGAACCCCCATTGGAACATACTTGAAAGGCTTCACAAGTTATCATTGTCTGTAAGTTACATGCCCATTTCTGCGTAGCCTAATCCAGCCCCCGACTTTTCTCCAGTTTATCAGCAGTCAGCTTAAACACTCCTATAACCCATTTTCTCCTGTTCCCGGGCTACCCACCCGGACAATTTGAAGTACTGGATCGACCTTATCCTATATCTCCATCACATGCTGTGAGAGAAAAAAACGGCTCTGTTGCTCAAGATGGAGCAGCCCACTACGGACCTTACTCATCCTCTTGAGCGTTGACAGAACCAGGGCCTTGTATTACTCGCTTGACTTTGAACAACCCCAGACAGTAATCATATGACCACTTGCCAACTAGCACTAGAACCTACCTGCGCCAGATCCTGCATTTCCCTCCCGCTGACGATGCTCCAGACATGTGTTTCTTTATCTGCTCACCACCAACGGACCCGATCAGGTGAACAACAAGTACCATACCTCGAGGCAGTTGGTTACCAATAAGAACCGGCTCATTTCATCTAAAAAGTGCGCGTCTTTGCTTCTAGTTGGAGATTACTTTTGTTATCCAAAGGCCCCTTTCTTACATCTCTGGCGGTACACTAGGGATTGTTTCAGCTGAGCAGCTAACTGGACTGTAGTGACTCGTTCGCACAAAATAAATGACCGTGATCATTCCGCACCGCAGACTGGAATCATAGCTCCCAACGAGGCCCTTCCCCGTTACTTCGCAAAATCAGGCCCTGTTGATGCCGATCCCCGAAAGACCAAAAAGGATGGTGGAGGCAAGGGAAACTGGTGGGACGCCCTTGTTATTTATACCTTCATGCACACATACAGCGCCATGCACGGCGCGATTGGCATTCTCAGGTAAATAGTTTGCTGACTGGTTAATAACAGGGGGCGTTCAGGTGAGGAGGTTCGAGATTACGAATACAGCTTCATGAATGCCCGCCGCCGCTCGAATAGCAGTGTTCAAGGAATCTCGGGTTTCAAAACCAAATTTGAAACTATCGAGCCTGAACCAGTCTTTGAAGAGGATCTACACGGGCCATTGGATGAGAATATCATTGATGGGCCTCCTTTTGTCAAGGCTGACAGTGTCAGTAGCGGTACCAGTGGTGGTGGCGAGATCGAGAAGGCTGCCGACCAGAAAAGCTCCACAATGAATTGAACGGCGCCGCGTACACCCAAATTCTATAATGTTGTCACTATCATGTACGGGAATGACCCTGATCGCTGGGATAGGCGCACTGCAAACACCTAGTCGAAGAAAGTCTATCCTAGTGGTAAACGGCGAGAGGACTTGCAATCTTCATTATGATAGTTTTGAGCCCGCTAACTAAACATCATTAAAAAAACAAAAACGTATACCTAGTTAGCGAATATATTCGAAACAGATTTTTTTTTTTGTTTTCCAAAGCTAAAGCTACTCTGGGTGACGAGGTCGCCAAGTAAACTGGTCTCTTTCAAAGCCAACTGAGCCGCTCCTTCCGCCTTGGACTTTGCGCTTGGTACAATGAGCATGCTTTGAAGTCGCTATTGTTGGCAGGTGGAGGAAAGCTATCACTGTCGACCGAAAGTGGTCTCATTTTTCTTGCAGACTCATGAATATTTTTGAACAGAAACCCAAGTTCTTCTTTCTCAATATATCGAGAGAGAATGGCATTCTCCTGGTAAAGGTCATGAGAAATTCGAGTCCGTTGCTCTGGACGAAAACGTGACGAGAGAAGTGCAGAATCAGATTCGTTGAGTAACACATCCTGTGGACGAGTGGGCAAATAAAGTGGTGGACTGCTGGGGTCCTCTGTATGTTCTTTAATCAAATTAGCAAACGGATATTAAAGTCTGTTCGGGTAGAATATTTACCATCCTTGAAGCACCAAACAAGGGTACGAAATAACGAAGTGGTATAAAAGAGTGACTCGGATTCGCTTCCCATCTGCTCAACTGCCCTACCAATAGCACTCCAGTCATCCCTGAGAATGCATCTGCGCCAAACAAGTTTTTGAAGGGCAAGGCTGTAGTTCGGTTCACATTTAGCGCCAATTCCAAGTCGAATGACTCGCAGGGCTAAATGAAACTCGCTTCCAGAAAACTCGTTTTGTCCAAAATCGGATTCTTGACTGGAGTCGATAAGAGTCAACAGATCGATGAGCTGGTCAAGGCTTAGCACTTTACGAGATACCACCTCTGCGAGAGCTTTCTTGAGTAGTTCATGTAGTGATGGTCGGGAATCTGCGGTGGAATTCGCGAAATGGTCCGTCGCCAAATCAATTTCGGCTTTCTGATCGATGGCATCCTGTAAAATCGGTGAGATGTATGCGTAAATGGCCTCCTGAACAGCACTCATTTCCGCAAGTTTCTCGAGACGTCTGATGTCGTCCTGTACAGCTCGAGGGTTGGAAGGATCGGCCTTTTCATACGTTGCTAGATGCGCGAGTTTGGCCATAGAAAGTTCCACGCGATGACTCCAGATGTCCTGCTCATGCTCGAGCGCGAGTGTCTCCAAGGATTTAGCAGCAGATTCGTAATCGGCCTCGCCAACGACATCATTGACCCAGCTGAGTTTGGCGTAGGATTGATATTTACGCAAAAATTGAGTAACAAACGGTTGAAACTTCTTCAGCGAAAACAATATCCCCGATTGTCCCATTGATATTTGGCGGGAAAGGAATGCATCAGCCCACGCCTCCCCGAATTTCTCAAAGTAGTGGGTAACTTTCTTATCAAGTTCCGTTGAACCTGTCCTGAGGCTAGCTGAAACGTCTGTATCGCGCGCAAACATCACGCTTTTGCTTTGGTCTTGAAGTTCAATTATTAGCTCCACGAGAGCACCCATATCTTGAAAATTCTCCGCCAAATTTATGGCCTCTTCCAATTGTCCGATGCCTGCTAGTTTGAATAGTTGCCACCTCCGTTTTTTGAGGTGTGATTGCTTCGTCGTTATGGCCTCATCGATTAGTTTTTGCTCCTCCTGAGCCAATAGCCACCGAACCCGCTCAGAATACATCTGACCTAGGATTCGTAGGTGTCTCGCACTGTTTTGTGCAATTTTCCCCGCTACTTGCTGCTCCGATGCGTCGGTATTGGTTGGCGTCTGGTGTATCCAAGCTCTACAGCTGTCAAGCTCAAGATCCAACAAGTGACCCGTTTCAGAGTAACTGATATTTTGAGAAGTCCAAAACTCAGGAAGACCTTCGTAGTCAGTAATTAAGACCCCGTCTTCCAGATACCCATCTCCAATTCCGAATCGAGAGGCATGCTCATCTCGGTACTTGAATGCAGTTTCCAAGACCGCTAGAGAGAGCTCGCTGGCCTCCAAAATGCGTTCTGACATTTGCCGCATTTGTTTGGAGGTGTTCCCTTTCTGAGGTTTTATTGCATGAAATATCCAAGGTACTATATGCTCCATTCGATAGGTATCATATAGGAACCAGTGGCGTACCGAGTCGCTTGCATCATCCGTCTTTGTTTTGAACTTCTCGCTCATTAATCCCAAAACATGAGCAAGAAATGTTGGCCCACTGTTTTTGCATTTTCTGGCACTCTCTTCCAGCTTCCAAATTGCCTTTTGAGCCGCAAGTTTCTCCGCGCCCCATAATAATTCCCACCAGATTTGACGATCGAGGATTTTATTTTGTTCAATCAAAAGCCGTGAAAGATCATCCAAAGCTTTTGCGCGTAGTTTCAGATTCTGGTCAATGGATATGGCCGTTGTAGGGATAAACTTTGAGGTAGACTGGAGTAACCCCCGACAGATGCAGAGGGTGGCTTCTTCAACATCTTTGATTGGGAAATTCAGATCGCCTTTACTCGATAAATCTAGCGGGTTTCCTAGCATTGTACCATAGAACACAGCCTGTTCAAGTTTATGCCGAGCAGTGATTTGCGCATCGTCAGTATCATTGACGATTTCTTGCCTAGGTAAGGCAGTGATACGAACCACGCCGAAGTCTCGAATCATGAGCAAGCATGTAGGAGACGTACACCCGGGGCTCTGATCCTCGAACCCCGTCCCTAGTATCTCATAAGCCGGCCCAGATCGAAAATTGATTGAATCGTGGAATGTCCGTGGTTGACCGTTGTCAAGCAGCAGCTGTGTGCTTGGTGTTTCGTCGACGCTCTCCAACGACAGCAGCATTACAGATTGGCCTAACACGATGAAAGCCGTTCCCCAAGGCTTTGGAACGTACAGACGGGGCTGCAAGCTACCAAATCCGGTTGAAAAGACATGCGAGCCAATAGGGGAAGTGGATATAATCTGAGTGTTTTCGGAGAGGCTCAACTGAACAACATATGCTCGGATATCTGACCCAGAAGAAAGGCCAACTAGAACTGAAACCCGCCACGACTTTCCAGAATCCATCTGCGAGTCGTTGGCCTTCTCTTTGCTCGAGCAGAAAACGAGATCCCAGAGTCTAACTTCATATTCCATGCCTTCGTCCAGGCCGTGTACCGCCATGCATCGCCGCATGTCTTCTTTGACGTCATATTGTCTTTTCAACAGGCTTCCATTATTCCAGTGCGTATCCCAAATCTCTATCAAGCCTGCCGATGTCGCGATTATGATATCCCGTTGTCCCCGCTGATATGATTCGCCAGCACGCACGGCGGCAACTTGTTTTCTCCAAAAACCCGCCCCGAGAGCGTTTTTGATACCACCAAGGAACCCAATTCCAACACTATTGGGTGGATTTTTCAAGAAGTTCACTGTGATGGCCGGTTTCCCCTGTGAGTCTCTAACAGTGATATGGGCAACCCGCCCTGATGAAAATGTGACCATGACACCGGAAGGCTCGCCGTTCACTATTTCTGTAGCATGTTCACCCGAAAGCATCCCTGGAACATACCCCTGAAGCCCTGTTTGCTTTTGTCGTGGGAGACCCAGTAATGCGGCGTAAGACACGGTTTCCCAGTATATTATTTTTCCATTATGTGGCATCAAAATCATTAGTCCGGGGGTAGCACTCGTAGCCGTCGATAAAATTACTCCCAACGGTGCTACACCACTACCTTCACTATATGAGTCGGGTATAGGGAGCCGGAATACGTCGCTAGGTGAGGGCGAGGAGGCCAGAACTGAGTATGGCCAGATGATGGCTTCGGATTTGGTGATGACAAGTCCATACCCGTAGCTGGAAGCGAAGAAACACTTGCAGGGGTCTGATACAGCCCATTAGTTATGCATAACCAAATTAATTGTTGAACATACCCAATTGAAGGCCCCGAATTTGATCTGGCAAAGATGGTAATTGGCATACGGTATAGAAATCCGTCTTTGACTGAAATACAGTAACGTTAGCGCATCGAGTCTAAGATGGCAAAAACAAAAGGATGACAAACTAGTATAATCGGCTCTACAGAATCACCTCTGCGAACGTCTGATTTTTTGCTGGTTCTTATTGGAATATTTCGTTGGATTTCGCCATCAGGGTTGGGTGCTACATCCACATCGTTTGCAAGGGATCTGTGATCAAGGGGGCGATCTGTCAGGTCTCCTATCTTTGGATCATCATCTTGACGAAGAATTGATCGGTGTCTTTTAGCACTTGGTGGTTTTATAGATTCGCCGGAGCTTGTACGCTGGCGCCTTCGCGGATTCCGCAGAGATGTTGTGGAAACTGTAGCTTTGGGCGCGAACATTGTCAACGGGGGTGCACATAAATCATTCGCATTCACGGTGACTTAAAAGGTACTTCGCGCATCAAAGAATAGAACATTCAGTTACAATGAGGTAGGTAAAGCGTTTGGTCTTGCCGAGCTGTTGCTTTTGTTCTATCAGGCTTCAGCAATGTTGTTGATTCTCGCCGAACTAGGGCGGTCAGTCGCCAAAATATTCACATTGACAATGAATACTGGCCAGGCGGTGAGTGGGCTCTTCTGGTAGTATTGGAGGCCTCGAACCCCAGTTATTTGGCTGTCTCACCACTGAGCAGAACCACCATGGCCTCGTGCTCCTAACCCCTGAATTTCACCTAGGGATTGCTAGTATATGTTAATGAGCTCCTGTGTATTCGGAAAATTTTCAAGCTATTAGGAGCTAGGCCGAGCCGGAATCACTTTGTCTTGCCATTTCTAATACTAAAGTACACTTGGAGGCCATCAAATTTGTTTATAATTTACGGGTTTGAAATATGTTACATCAAAAATTACCGAAACCCGTATCATCAGACCCCCCACCAAAAAAAAAAAAACAAGTCGCATATGCTGGGTATAATTACAATGCTCCGTAGAGCCAGCTGTTTCACGCCGAGTCATATCCCCGCAATGGTGCTTTGTCACATGACGTGGACCTTGGTTTCTCCAAACTAGTTCAGTCGGACCCCAGCTGGCCAACATTAAGATGTTGCCTGCAAGCAACGGCTTGCCTTGGTCAAGAGCACTAGTTCATGATGCATACCTTGTTTCACCGCAGCGCTTCTATCACTGAGAATTATACGGGCTACTGATTCCCTTGCCTATGATCTTGACAGCGATGTTCACACATCTCGGGAGGGGTGAGGAAAACACACGGCACGGGCCCATCTACTTGCAATATTAACTAAACCAGGCAGATTTATTAGAGAGGCCATATATCGTGGATATCCCATAGCAGATTTTAGTGGCAGAACTCATAGACGATGCGCAGCCAACTCCATTAACCCAAAGCCGTTGCGCACAGCACTGTTCTTCCCTGGTGAGTAGTTAGCCCACCTTATGTTTGCTAGCCATTGAATTGTCACTCACCTGAAGTTAGGCCATGGGGTACAACGAGTTGGCATGGCCCGCCCTTGGATTGATAAATTTCCAGGTGTTGCAGACCCCTTCCTGGAAGAAATGGATTCAATCTTGGGGTTGAAGCTGTCCCGAATAATCGCGGGAGGACCGAACTCAGAACTCAATAAGACTGAAAATTCACAACCTGCCATAATGGCAACGTCAATATTAATTCTTCGAATACTTGAATCCGAGTTCGGATTTAAAACAAAGACCCGTGTGGATGTAACCCTCGGACACAGCCTAGGCGAGTTCTCTGCACTGGTAGCAGGGGGCTATGTTTGCTTTGGCGACGCATTAAAACTAGTTCGGCGCCGAGCTGAAATAATGTCTCAGTGTACGCAACACGCTGTCAGCAAAACCGGCGAAGATTACGGCATGATCGCATTAGTGTGCGAACCAGAGCATATGGACGGCTTGATCACCACCATTCACGAGTTTTTGAGTCCGTCATTTTCGGATTTACATGATGAATCTTCAAATTGTGGAATACCGCCGATTGAGCAAGTGGTGATTGCGAACATAAACTCCAAAAACCAGATAGTACTCAGTGGCAGCATTGAGAGAATTCGGACATTACTCGTTCAGCTCCGTCAGTTTAGCGGTCACGACCCGCGTGCAGTGCGACTGAAAAGCGAAAGCCCATTTCACAGTCCTATAATGGCCCCAGCCGCCGAGTACATGAGAAACGCCTTGCAAAACATCACGGTTAATTTTCCTGCAGATATGCCTTGTGTCTCAAATGTCTCTGGCCTTCCATTTACTTCAGCGCCTGCACTCAAAGAGCTATTGTCACAACAATGCGTTGATACGGTAAGATGGTGGGATAGCATCCGTTACCTAGACCAGGAGCGGGGCGTAAAGCGTTGGATCGGAATCGGACCAGGAAAAGTTGGTAGAAATTTGGTGGGGAAAGAGGTTGGGAAGGTGATGGCCAGTGGGGGTGGCGTTTGGGCCATCTGTGATTTTAGGGATGTTGAGGAGACCCTTATTGCATTGGAAAATACGGAGAACGACATGCTGCAAGATTAAACCAGGGTTCGAGTATCGAGCATTTGCTTATATATTTTATATATATAGCATACTACCACGGTAGCCTTTTGGATTGGCCATGAAACGACGGCTCACTCCAACTCTCAACCGAATTGATATAGTTCAGCATCGTATACAATATTTCTGGCCGCCTACTGGGAAGCGAGGCATGTGTGGAAATGTCGTGGATACTGAATATCAGGCTCCTAGTCCATGCTCGAGAGCTTAGCCAGAATACGCAGGAACCGCTCACTGCTGTTCTCGAAGATAGGGCATGGAAGTCCGTCAGTCATGAACCCGGTACTGAAATATAATTGCCATACTGAAAACTTATGTCAAAACTGGGTCCCTTCTATGGATAAAAAGACCACAAGAAAAGGAGGACGAGGTTACCTGGATATAGTTTTGCTTTTACGACCCCCAGCGATAAAAATTAGCTGTATGGTAGCAGAAGGATAACTAGGTAAATGCCTTAAGGATCAATCGGTATTATAAATTAGTGATTCCGGTAGCCCACAAGCTGCCAATCCGGCTGACTTCCGAAATAAATTTTTGGTCTATGATATGAGACGGCTTTGAGGTTTGGATCGCGCCATTCGTCATGGTGACCCGATCATCTGGACAGTAAAATGGGTTCTGGAGAAGCTGTATATAGGCTGTCTGCAAGGCTCGAAAGGCCTACAGTTCACGATGGTTAGCATTTTAGAGCCCCATTGCCCATACAAATAGGGCTTGGTAGCCGCGTAAAAAAAAAAAAAAAAAAAAGGCTAAGTGGCGTCATCTGACATACTGGTTTAAGGTCGGATTCTCGGAAACTAGATCGTATGCTTCCATGTGCATCGTTGATTCCAAATGGGGTCTGGCCCCCGATCAAATCGATGATTATTAGGAACTTAACACCAGTGGTTGTTAACCACCCGTAGGATGCTAGCCGCTCATCAACCGCATGCAACAAACCAAGATCTTGGTCAATCGAAGTTTGTTTCTGGCGTATTTCAAAAACATCAAGAGACGCGTTCAATAGAAATGAGAATTCAATTCCAGAATCGGAATACGGCGGAAAGAGTGACATATGCAGAGGGTTATCCTTTGATTGTATCAGTTTCAGCGCCGCCCAATCTAGCTAAGTATTATCACATACAGACTTCCCAATAACACCAATGCAGGCTATTTTCGGTTCTGGCATTGTAAAAGACGCCCCGCCGGAGTGTTACGTGTTTTCGGGTTTTATTGCACGACCTCTGACGTTGTTTCCCAGGTAGCAGGTGGAAATGGAACAGGATCCAGGAAGGGGTGTGCAGGGGATGGTTGTTTGGGCAGCTCGAGTACGCTGCGGCAGTGGGTATGCAGGAATGTCGCTGGAAACGAGTCGAGGCAATTTCGAAACTGAAGTTTGGATAAGCAAAGGCAAGTAAAGTAAGGTACCTAGGTATCTAATAGGTAGTTACTCGGCACCAGCATGATAGCTGGACGGACGGAGTCACTCAGATCACCTTAGCGCGGGCGTGATCCTCGGGTCGCCCTATGAAAATGGATTCCCATGCCTAAATTCGGTGACAGGCCAGAGCTGTTTCATTCTCCGCCAGCCTGATATCTCGCTGCATCTCGACAGTCACAAACAGGAAAATATATACTCAAGGTTCATGATATTGACCATAGGATGTAGCTACGACATTTCCTCCCAAAGGTCTGTGCCTTCTATCATCCGTAGTGTTCGCGCGAGGTACTACTATATGCCCCAGCGAAATCCCAGACCCCGAACTTATGAAACATTTGACTACTTACAACTACCTGCTCTCTCCAACCTTTTGGCCTGCCTTTTTTTTTTTTTTTTTTTTTAGATACATTGCAATTGAGTTGGTAGAATAATTCATCCATGATGGCGCTCGAGCAGAGACCGACTCCAACCTGAACAACCCAATGAAAATCGTATCTTTGTAATTGCTCACCGCCCGAGGTGTTCCAACCAAAAACTTCGGTTGCCCACTAAGACCATCAATGCAGAGTGTATCCCGAATCCTTGGCCGACCGACCACTGATACTGAATGGTTTTCCCATTGAATAGGATAAAGCTCCTTGATTTGGGCAACTCCTTGAGCAGATCAGTTTCTTTTAGCAATACCACTATAAAAGAATATTGAAACCATGATATCCCTTTCAGGGCGTGCTTTGCCACGCGCCCTTCATGGTATACTCAAATTTCCGTCTTCTTAAACTGCGCTAACATCTGACAGTGCGCCCAAACAAAACGCTGTGTGCTCCTCAAATCCAGCGCGTGGCATTCTTATCTACATCTTTAACTAAAGCGGCAACGGCACTCGAACGACAAGGCAAAGTTGGGCAATTGACTGCGTCTGGCCAAGTGCGGAAGGAGGTGCCTCTACCGAGTCAGGAGAAGAAAGAAGGTGCAATGCAATATGTGCTGTATGTGGCCCCGGATTTCATGGTTGTTTTACAGTTTTTCATGTGTTAACCATACATCAAGGACCACTCTTGACCAAGTCGCGAACTGGGCACGCCAAAGCTCCCTGTGGCCAATGACCTTCGGACTCGCCTGCTGTGCCATCGAGATGATGCATCTGTCGACACCCAGATATGACCAGGATCGTCTCGGTATTATCTTCAGAGCTTCTCCACGCCAATCCGATGTCATGATCGTGGCGGGCACTTTGACAAATAAAATGGCGCCGGCTCTTCGGCAGGTTTACGATCAAATGCCTGACCCCCGCTGGGTTATCAGCATGGGTAGTTGTGCGAATGGCGGTGGCTACTATCATTACAGCTACTCCGTCGTCCGTGGCTGTGATAGGATAGTTCCCGTTGATGTCTATGTTCCTGGATGTAAGCCACCCCGAAGCCTCATCGCACTTTTCCCGCCGACTGACCGTTTTCTTCAAGGCCCACCAACATCTGAGGCGCTGATGTACGGCATTTTCCAACTCCAGAAGAAGATGAGGCACACACGGATAACCCGCATGTGGTATCGGCGTTAGTTTTGCTCTGCGCGGTTTGTCGAGTTAACCTTGGGAACTACTGGTGATATGACATTATATTTTTTTTTCTCGCAAAATGCTGTACAAACCTCCATAAATTCAGATGTTCAAGGTCGCCAATACAATTGAGTGTTCCCATGTTGATGTCTCAACGGGATATATAGGCCCAATGTCTAGATTGTTGAAATGAACGCTGGACTGGGAGGGGTGTGGGACAACTCTGCGAAGTATACAAAGTGAACCAAGTGAATATGCAAAACTACCCAGTTTCACAAGGTAAAGTGTCACCGTGCACGAAACACCTATAAAACCTTTGACGGTAGAATATGTTACACTATGACCTTAGCAAAACTATACTTTCTACATCCAGGTATCTGAATCTACCTGAACCAAAGGACAAACAATCTAGCTTGGTGATTTAGTGGCTCGATAAGCACTTGGTGTTGTGGTCCTACTTTTCTACCAATTTTACTACAGTTCCTGTCAACAACAATCATGTCTTTATTGTCACATCTATTACCAAAGGTAGTCTAGTTCGATTATTGATTCTACGAGGGAGCTATCTTGAAGATGTTCCTTTCCTATCCCTTTAAACTACCTTTGAGTAAATTTTAGTTAAGATAGGTATGGTTGGGCGGGTCCATCGTACGGTTGTTTCCGAAAGTGGCTAGTCCCGGCCTTTCATGCTTTTCTGCGATGTCAACTTTTTTTTCCCTCCCCTCTCCAAAATGACAAAGGTAAAACCATCAATTCCTTCAGCAAAAATCTAGCTGGCTTAATAGGAGTCAAATTGCGTTGTATAGGCACCCGATCCCTTGTGGAGTGTCTCTATATCCCCCCCATTTTCTTTTTTCGTTATATTCTCCCACTCGCTTCGATACGATAAACGGCAGCTATCATCCGCCCTAAATGAGGTCAAGGCATTACGCTCGAGACCAACCTGGGCCTGAAACTTCGGATGCGGTACCTTTGTCTCTCAAATCGACGCTTTCAACACCCTGGGACTTCCTTCGTCCGACCAAAAAGTTACGTACCAGCATATTAGACAGCGCAAAAGTCTTCCTCGATCCTCTTGCGGTTTCGGTCAGTGATTCTCAAGCTACCCGCCAGCGAAATGTTCGAAAACGGAAGCGCCCAGACGAAGATCGAGACGCTGTATTTATTTTGCGGCTGAAACAATTATATGTGGATGGCTTTACGTCGGATCAAATTTGGGAGCAGGCTCTACGTATTTTCGATTCAACAGACCAAGAAATCCAGCGCGACTACGCAACTTGGGTCCATTATGTACATCAGTCTGTCGCTGAACTACCGGAACGTGCATTGCATCTCGACAGCTCATCTCAGGATGACGTAGAGGTTGAAAATGCTAATTCCATTAGTGGCATGAGCTCTATCACTGATGGATATAGCGTTGACGGAAAAATTGTTGAAGAAGATCAATTTGATGCCGAAAGCGACAAGTCGTCTCAAGGCTATTTGGATCAGAGCGACAATGAAGAAGATGGCCCTGATGGAAGCTCGGATGACGATCAGGATGGCGGCACGTATGTGGAAGACCGATTTGGATTGAATGATGGTTTTTTCTCTATTGACGATTTCAATAAACAAACTGAGCTATTTGAACGGCAAAATGCTCGAGGTGACTTGGATGCCGAAAGCGACGATGACGAAATCAACTGGGATGCCGATCCTCTTGGTGCAGAAAACTTGAATCTTTCTTCACGGACAAGAGTTGATAGGGCTGGCGACGGCATGGACCAGAGTGTTGACGAAGAGGAAGAAGAAGGCCCGACTTTCGACGATATGGGTGCTCATGATGAATCGGATATAGATGAAGACGATTCTCGCGCCACGGCTCTCGGGGGATCAGGTTTTTTTAACACGAGCGACATCATGTACGCTGACTTCTTTGAACCTCCACCCCGGAAATCGTCGACCAAAAAGTCGCGCCCACTCCCGAAAACGCAGCCACGTGGCGGAATCTCTGACGGTGACATTGCCCGTGCAATGGCTGATGTTCGCCGCGACTTATTTGACGATGAAGTATCAGCTGATGGTAGTGAAAATGAGCCGAGCGACACCCAGGCTCACGCGTCAACCCACGAGAAACAGCGCGCACGCATTTCAGACGAAATTCGACGGTTAGAGGCTGCTAATGTGGCGAAGAAAGAATGGGTGGTCGCTGGAGAAGCTAGGGCAGCTGAAAGGCCCACTAATTCACTCATAGAAGAGGACTTGGATTTTGAAAGAATTGGCAAACCGGTGCCAGTCGTAACAACGGACTTGTCTGAGAGCATTGAGGAGTTGATCAAGCGGCGAATCATCGCTAAGGAATTTGACGAAGTCATACGCCGCCGGCCGGGGCTGTCGGATCGCCAGCATACTCAAAGGTCTCCTGTTGAACTCGAGGATAGCAAATCACAGCAGGGCCTCGCGGATCTATACGAAGCAGATCATCTCCGGGCAACGGACTCAAATTACGTCGACCCCAAAAACCAGAAGCTTTCAAAGGAGCGTACAGAAATCGGTGACCTCTGGAGGGAGATAAGCTCTCAGCTGGACACGCTTTCCAATTGGCACTACAAACCGAAAGCGCCACAGGCCAGCATAAATGTTGTTACAGACGCTGCCACGATTACAATGGAAGATGCTCAGCCCAACGCTAGTGGTGCCGTTCGCTCATCGGCGACTCTTGCACCACAAGAAATCTACGCACCAGGCGAGAACAGGAGGGACACTGGTGAGATAGTATTGAGGAATGGGGTTCCAGTCACGAAGGAGGAAATGACTCGAGAAGAAAAGGCAAAGCTGAAGCGCCGACAGAAGAAGCCGAGCCGCACCTCTGCTGATTCCTCCAATCAGCCTTCTAGAACGGCGGTTCAGAAACAGCAAATTGTATCAGACCTTAAAAAGGCAGGTGTCAAGTTGATCGGGAAGGAGGGTGATATGACAGATCTTAGTGGGAGTAAGGTTGCAGGCATAGGCGGGATTGGCGCTCATGCGATGAAGCTATAACTTTTTAGCCAAACTTCCATTGAGCAGGTTTGGACCGCGTCCGTGGGCCAGCGAATGTTCTTTTATTCCGTTCTATATTGTATGCTACTATGCATTTATTTTCGTGACCAACATCCCTAGGTTTTTCATAGGACGATACCTTCCCCACTGGCACCGGACTTTGATCGTATGGAGTATATGTAGATGTTCTCTCGCTTGTAGGTTTCGGCATCCGGGTCGTCGTTAATTTCGGTAAGGTGGAACGTTTTCTTCGCTAGTTTCAAAAACCGAAGGTCTGCCCTTCGGCGCTTTTTGAAGCAAAAATAGCAAACGGAGTTGGGGCCTAGGAGTTCATCGAGTGTTGAAATTAAGAGTGGAAATGCGGGTTCAAAGTAGACGCAATCCGCGGCGAGGATAACCTCGGGATGCTGTGGGATATCATTCGAGATAGGAACCCCCCAATCTAATACTGCAGCATTAACGATCGTGGTGAGATTGTTGAGAGCGACATTGGCTTCCATGAGGGGTAGCATTGGCGCTTGATCTGTGATATATATAGCAGATGGGCCAAGTTCACAGCCAGAAGCAACTGCTAGCCCAACAAGACCGCCGCCTGCGCCGAGCTCAAGACTGGACTCCGTAAGTTAGTCAATCAATATCGTGGCAACAGATAACAGGGTGATATGGAGTGTCGTTAGGAGATTGCTCTCCAACTCCTGAGCCGAGAATGTGGGGGAAGATGATAAAAAGGACAGACATTGTTTTATCAACCAAACTGGAGCGGTGCTGACGAAGCATATATTTAGCCAAAACCATGCCAGCAGGCCACAGCTGACCACCACACCCCTCCTTTAGGTCTTCTTTAAGGAGAAGAGGCCGCTGTAGAAGACCGTCGAATGACACATTGCTCTGACCGGCTTGCTTAGTCTCCCTCACGGGAACCAAAGACTCGCTTATGTTAAAGGGATCATTGAAACCAGCCGAACCTGGAGATAGTACATCTTCCATATAGGTAACAGGGCCTCGGAAGCGAATCTTGTGGTGATTGTCGCCTTAAGAGGAGTTGAGGAATGCTACCAGTAAAAATTTGCGGGCTTCCAGAAATCTTCTGGTTCCTCTCTCAGTCTCGAAGTTAATAATGTCGTCTACGGAGTACTGTGCACAAAAAAAAAAAAAAGGTACTAAGATAACCGCGGGCAGCACTCATTGGCCCGAGGTTCCAGTGCTTAAGGCTTAGCATACCGACCTCCCAGCACTTCGTCCGAAGCAGAACCCTCCGTCTTTCATTAAGCCACTGGCCTGGGGCACTGGCGTGCATCACCAGCATGGACTCCCTTAGACAGGGGTGTTTTGTTGGACCAACTAAATGAAACGGTAAACCTTACACCCCATACTCGGGAGAGCTATTGGAGTCTGAAGAGTCGAGACCACCCAGACGCAGGGTTAGGGTATCTGACGTCATGCTAATTCTCTGCACATCATGATCTTCCACGACGAAGCCCCGATCATTGGTTCAGACCTAAGTACGTGCTCTTCAGTCCCAAGTTTTCCCCTCAATGGCCGCTTTTGAATCATGACGACGTCACATATTCGTCCACGAATAATCCGTGATGCAACTGTAGTGGCTTGTCTTTCGCTGCAGACCAAAGTCTGCATTATGTCACTTGACACAGATTGGCTTTGTATTTAAAGGGTACACTGGCCTCGATGCTGGACCTCCCGTAATTTGTCTACGTTTGATCTCAAATATTCAAATAACCACTTACATATTACAGCACAAAAATGGCAACTCTACACTGTGGGTTCACCAATGTCCCCCCTGCTGGTCAAAACTAACGGACGCTCTCAGATCTCCCTTCTGTCAAACCCTCGGCTATTGCCATGGGCACTGTCTTCACCCACACTGCTTCACTGGGTATTTTGGCCCCTGTCTTCGGCGATACATATCACCGTGCCCAGGCTGCCAATTCGAAGGAGGACTTTATCAAATCCAAAGAGGCCGCTAGTGCCGCGACTGCATGGGGTAGCTCTCTGGTCGGAAGCGCTGTGCAAACCTATGGAGTTGCTGCTTTGATTAATGCAACGGGCACCCTTAGCTACAAGGGAGCAGCCTACCTTGGAAGCTTGATCTTTTTTGCCAGCTCGGCCCCCAGTGTATGTCTCCCGCTCCACCATGTCTTACGGTTTGATAAACATGCTGACCAGTGTCCTTTCTTCTATCTGAAGTTCGTCAGCCAGGTATTTACCGAGAAGAGACCTCTCGACACTGTTGCTGTAGGTGCTGTCGCAAGAGTATTTGAGACGGTTGGCCTGAGTTTGTTCCTCACCTGGTGGGGTACACGCACGAACCCTTTTGATTAGATAGGCTTCTGAAATCTGAACCCAAATTGTTACCCATTCCATGTTATGGTTGGGGTCTGGTTGATGATGCTTTGTCCATAGCCCTAATTTGAAACAATGAACAATCAATTTCTGTTAAGTGATAATGTAAATACCCAATGTGGCAACAGATTGGGTAATATAACATAGAGGCTTATTGGTCTATATATTTCCGGCTTATCATACATACCATTAACCAGGGTAGATAATATCACGTAGTCCATTATTCACCACCCTCCAATCAGTGATTATGAGAGGGGGTGTCTAGTGTCCTAGGTGGCAGTGAAGAAGAGACAATACAACACATCTTTATTTGGCAATCATCGATGAGATATTGCAGACGAGCCATACGCAACATACTTTTGATTGGACTTCTGGATTTCTCTACGACCCGAGAGTCCTGTTGAAATGTATCTGGTAGTAAAGCTGGGGAAAAGTGCACAGAAGAAAGGAGAACAGAATACATTGTGTCTAACAGATATTTATCTCAGCATTTAAACGAATGTGCGACAGGGGTACCTTTATAGCATTAGCTTAGCGCATCCTCGGGGAAAATAAAACAGGGTAGAAGAGCGAACATACACATCAGGATAACCGTGATGATCATCAATCTGGTATTTCGAAGCAGAGTTCAGGTTACAAGGAGTTGGCGGCAAGCCGGTGGGACCTAGAACACCTTTGATGCCAGTCTTGTCCTTTTGGAATAAACCTGCCAGTCCCCGATCCTCACCTTCCTGTTTCACCGAGACGAGCTGCTTTTCGCCTGCTTCGCCAATTTGTAGGATGTCATCTCTGGGCACCGCCTGGCTTCCTACAGTGAGAAGGCCAACAGCATCCGCCTGATTCACTGTGCTGATTTTTGGGTAATTTCTGCGGACGTCGCGCTTCCAGTACGGGTTGTCGGCGATATCGCCCGCTGGAACCGTAACTGGATCATCGTATGATAGCGGTGGAAGAGCCCCGGGCGTGGGAAGACGAAATTGTGCATTCAATGGCACACCAGTTGAGCGGTCGGGATCAATGGCAAATAGACGGCGGACACGCTCCCATAAACCCGTGGACTGAACTGAGTATTTCTGAACCCATGTAATTAGCATTCAATCGGAAAACTAGGGGCAACGATCTTACATTATTGATTGAGACAATACTTGATGCCGATTTGGCCGCGTTCACGACGTTGCGCGCCATTATGGGCTCTGCTCGACCTGAGTTATTAGCACGATTGACCAGTGCTGTCAAATACTTCGTAGCGCCAGATGAAGTCAGATCGACACTAAAGTCCTTACCTATCTCCTGCCTGATTGCTGGGAAACCACGGGGGTAGCTTTTGCTGCGTCGCTCGCTACTCGGCGTCCAGACACTCGATGAAGGCGAGAAGCGGATGTGATTTCCGGAACAATGCAGTTCCGAGCCCGCAAATCAGGACCCGTCTAATCATAAGCCCGAGTGGTTGGTTCCTTCGTACCTGCTAGGAAGGAATATTGTAGTGCCCTCCAGGCTGGTACATTTGGTCTTGAGGGAGGAAAGAAAAAGGCGTTTGATGGCTGCATGGATAGGACTGACACTATTAGTTATATGATATTTATTGCGCCGCCGTGTATGAAACTAGAAGCACCCCCCTCTCCCTTTTCCTTAGAATTATTTCCCTAAAAGAAAATGAATAGGATTATTATCCTTCATAATGACAAGCATATTCATATGAAGTATAGATAATTTAGATAATATAAACTAATATAAACTAATATAAACTATTAATAGACTTTCACACGCTGCATGGAAAAGCAACAGTGATTCTTTCTTTTAAAATTCCTTCATTTTGGTTTGCGTATTGACCGTATTGTCATCTTCAGGCGTTGATATAACGAGCTGCCGGACAGCCTCCACAGTTGCATCTGGACCACCCGGTTGCGAGACAAGAACTTTGCCAGTCTTGTCTATAACAAATACACCCCTGGTTGTCCCGCGGGGTAGCTTCTTGAGCCCGATCGCACCGATCAAGGTAGATGCGGTGTCGCAAAGTAGTGGATACGGCAAACTTTGCTTCGTTTTGAAGGTGGAGTTGGCCTTTGGGGAATCTACTGACAGACCATAGATGGACAGCCCGGTAGAAGTCAATTTGTCGTATCCATCTCGGAATAGACAGGCTTGCTTTGTACCTTGAAATTGTTAGCTTTTGATTGACATAAAGCTCCACACGCTTTGAACTAAGTCACATTGGGACCGCCCGAGGTTGAAGATTTATATTGTCTCGTGTGTACAACAAAAACAAACTTACAGCCAGGGGTTGACGCCTTGGGGTATGTAAATAGCACAACGCCAGATCCACTGTCGTCGAGGAGATTTTTGAGTGTAGTAATTGTGCCATCATTTGTCTCCAAATCGCCACCAAACCCATCTAGATTCACGATATCACCGACTTTTGGTATAATCTCCATGGTTGCAGTGTTTTTGATTCCTGTTGCCTTGGACGTTGAGTTAAGCGCTTTGGTTCTTGTCCGCCGCTTATTCACAGGCGCTGGGTGTGGCGCTGCCTTGCGCTTACGCAGTTCGACCATTTCCCCCAGATTATATTTCTGAGGAAAGGAAGAAAGCCAAAGGAGACAGTAGGCAGCGGGTGTCAGTGATAAAAGCTAAAAGTCAAATGCCCTGGATGGGTTGTACAGTTGTACTTTATTTTAGCGGCGGGTTGTACATAAGCGCCTAGATCCTCGGCGGCAAGAACTTCTCGCTACGCGCTTGGCGAGATATCGCGGTCCGCCGGCGTGAAAAGTTAAGGGACAAGAAAGAATAGAGGATGGCCAATTCATCAGCAATAGCTACTTCGAGAGGGTGGTGGAGGGTGAACTGGGGTTCTACTCTGATAAAGTCCCAACCGTCGCATTTCAAGAGAGCAAGCAAGGATGCAGCACGCGTTGGTACTACTAACCGTACACCAAAAGATGTGGAAGGCAAAGTTCACTCATTCGCTATTTGGGTGAATCAAGATATCTGTCCTCTACTCTTTTAACTATCAACCATACCTTTTCTCACTGCTGTACAACATTTATGTGATGAATTATAGTATAGTAGCGAGAAATAAACTAGTTGTGGAAGGAGCGAAGGGCCTTGATACTTTATCTGCTTCATTAGAACTCTTTATCTTGAAAAACGATCTGTTACCAGGTCAGTATCAATTAACAAAGGCCTCTAATTTTCGATTTCTGTTAAGAGACTATCTTTAAAGTCTTTCTATTTGATCCCTTCAAAACCAGCTACCCAACAAAGCAATCATTGTTAGTCTGGAAGTGCGCACTTGCCACTCGAACAGTCTTGTTTTCTGCCGGAAAATCCCGACGTCAGGGATTTCCCCGGAGAATTATTGCCCTAAAATTTCTCTTCCATCCCTCCGCCACTCTTCGACTCATCTCCACCTTTGCAGACTGTCTCAAGCGATTCTTTTACTTTTACTGATTGTCGTGAGTCTTCAGTTCGCTCTTTGTGTCTCTACGATTGCTTTCCTTAATACCGTACCCTCTCTTTCCCCACACCTTGCATCGAAAACGCGTTGAATACGATTTTTACCCCGGCTGTCTTCTGGTCCTAGTTTGATCATCGTCAGCTTTAATCGGTGCGCTCATATCTGTTTTTTGAAGGACGGCCGAGGAAACAAGACCCTGCCGGTCTCGGTGCTCTACGGCGTTGTTGGACCCGGCGATGAAGGTCTTCTCTTCTATTTGTACCTTCAACTACTCGTGGGACGAGGTCTCAACAGCAAACTGGCGGAAATACTGTCCCTGGAACGATAAATCTACACATGTTGTGGGTGTAGATACGTTGTCGCGGAGGGTTGACCCGGATACCGGAATTGTAAGTTCTATTCGGGGAGCTTTGAAGCTATGGGCGCATTTCGTCAAATGTCTAATGCCGTGTTTGATAGTTACGCACAGAGCGACTTATCACATGCAACCAGACCGTACCGCAATGGGTCTCTTCGCTGTTTGGAGGAAGCCCGACCTCACATGTCTACGAGGTATCGTACGTTGATCCAGTTTCAAGAAAAGTAACAATGTGCTCGACAAATCTCACTTGGGCCAATGTTCTAAATGTCCGCGAAACTGTCATCTATCAGCCCTCGGCGTCGACTCCGTCATCTATGACCGATTTTCAACAAGAAGCCAAGATCACTGCCCTCTGCGGGGGATGGCAAAAGATTAAAAATAAGGTAGAAGAGGCAAGCGTCGAAAGGTTTAGGGAAAATGCCAAACGGGGTAAAGAAGGGTTCGAAGCTGTTCTTGAAATGAGTCGACGAGTTTTTAGCGAACAGCGTGAGCAAGAGACTACTCGCACGGCATAAGCCGCCCACTGCAAACTCCCCGTATCTACATCATGACACACCTTCAGCGTTTGCCTTGCATAAATCGGCGTCGATTTGAGCTGTTTTTGAAAGCGTATTGATTTGGCGTTCTTTGCATATATATTTTTTTTACCCGCTTACAACGTGACTACCCTCCTCTATTGCTTATTTTACATATGCAGGTTCTTCAGGCACGCGTTCAAAAGTCATCGATATCCTTATCATTATCTTGGAGCTAAGCGTCTTCTTTCACAGAAACCATTAGCACACGAAAGTTAGAGCTGCACAGTGTGCCAATTGTACTTTATAAATACTGGTTTTAGCATTACTTCCATCTCCATTAAAAAGGTCCCATGTATTCGTTTCGTCATTACAATTTGGTTTCATGAAATTGTCCGAACCGTCATCCTAGAAGACCTCCCAACACAACGCGGCCCACTCCAGCCACCTCCGTTCTAGCAGCACTCCGACTTGCATCTTCGAATTCACGTACTATGCCCGCCACAATAATCTTTCGGAGTTTTGCGTCTGCTTTCGTAAATAGCTCACCTAGTGCCACCGTGCAAACTGCTGGAGTTGAGATCAATGTCACGAGGCGGGTATAGCAGTCTATCAAGACATCGCATAGCGTGGCAAATGTTTCAAAATAGTCCGGCTCAAATGGCAATGACGGAGTCATGAGGTATATGTACTCTTCTCCGGGTAGAAGGTCTGACGCTTCTGAATGAGGAATGGAGACGCTTGCAGCAGCCGCATTTACTGACGACGTAGCTCCCCCCGCCATAAGTTTCAGGTCGGAAGGATCACTGTGTTGCATGGGAAGGCCAATCTCTGTCGCTGAGCTTGCTCTTCTACCCTTTGTCCCACTATGGGTGGCCCGTTTAAACATTTGGGGTATGCGCGCTCGGGCAAGTGTTGATGACGAACTCCCCTCCGGCGGATGCACTTGCTGAAAGGTTTCGAACTCAATCAATAGTGCGTTTAGTGCACGCAGATATTCGCCTGACGTAGTGCTGACATCTATTATAGGTGGAATGGATAAGCCGAGAAGAAGGTAATTGATAGCACGTCGGGATAGTTTTCGGGTATCGAAGTAAGGGATCCGGCTAATATCAACTCGAGAGTAGTGAACGGTATTGAACCAATATATACGTCCTTCATGACTAGACACTGGGTGTCAGCAAGCTGCATCCTCATTTATGAGCCCAAAAAAAAGAACATGTGACGAACTGACGCTTTTCTCAGGTAGTCGAGTGTAGATATTCGTTTCGTGGCCATGTCATGAATATGTTGGTAAATTGCTGCAGCGCTCTGGGGACCAAGAACTCCCCCGCCACTCATTAGGGGAGGGGGAACAGATCCCGGAGCCACTTCATGACCTATTGATTTATTTGTATCCCTGCGGGACAAGGTGGGAGTGAATGTCGATGGAAGCATGTCGATGGTTTTCCCGAAGGAGCCTTGTCCCCTTCCGGCGGACATGAGGGTAGGACTTTTTGATCCTTGATCTGAATATGTTCAATAATAAGGATAGAAATATAATTATTGAAACAGGCCAAATGTAGATTCCAGAGATATTGAGCGGCGTGGGGTTTAATGCAAGCACGTTGTTCATGGCATCAAATACGTTGAATAATTGATGGATCGGTCTCCACAAAGCCCCTGACCGAGGCGGCGAGGAGGGTTACTTGGACATTGGCCAGAGCAGCTGGTTCCCCCGCACTAAACCTCATTAGGTAGAAATGTTTTCTCCGGAAATCGACGAATAATAATACGTAGTAGAGTTTGAAGTTGTCGAGAGTCTTGAATTATTCTGCTTCCAGTTGTGTTTGTTTGATGTTAAAACGGTCACGTCTTCATATAGTCCTGGCAGCCCTATCATTAAAAATATAAGCATTTACCGCCCTCTTTGAAGTTATTTTAACTAAGCTGCGCGAGATACCAAAACAGATAGTTCGTTAGATGTTCCATCATTCAATTAATTCGATGAATAGAATTGGGACTCCAAGTTGTTTCCTTCATAAGCCATCCAAGTCATCCATGTTTTGGTCGTCTGCTCCCAGTCTGGTGGGTCTTTTCTTATCGATAACAAGGGCGGTGAAGATGTCCTTTCTCCGTGGTCTGTGCCCCTCCTCGACCCCTATCCTTCGCGACCCCATCACTCACGCGCTTTGCAATCCCTAAGACGGATTACCAACCCCTCGCGCCGAATATATGCCCGGATAATTGCTACCAAACCGCATAGAATGGAAGCATCACCTGATGAGATAATTCCCAAACGCGGGGAATGGCCCGTTGACCCTCAAGACGATATTCCAATATCGGAGGGCCGTGTTTGGGTGGACGGGTGCTTTGACTTTAGCCATCATGGTAGGGGATCAAATACCACCGATATTCGTATGATAACCCTAATCATATGCCCGTAGGACACGCAGGAGCTATGCTTCAGGCGCGTAGATTAGGAGACGAACTCCTAGTTGGCGTACATTCCGACGAGGCAATCCTGGAGAACAAGGGACCCACAGTCATGACCTTGGAGGAGCGGTCGGTTGATGAGCCAAGAATCTGTTTTTGATCTGTTTGCTGACAGGGTGTACAATCCTTTTAGAATTGCTGCGGTAGAGGCTTGCCGTTGGGCAACGAAATGCGTTCCTCATGCTCCTTATGTAACGACCCTGCCTTGGGTCTCACATTATGGCTGCAAATACGTTGTTCACGGTGACGATATCACTTCGGATAGTAATGGAGATGATTGCTATCGGTTTGTCAAGGCTGCTGGTCGCTTTAAAGTGGTGAAAAGAACCCCTGGTATTTCCACCACGGACCTCGTTGGCCGTATGCTTCTTTGTACAAAGGGACACTTTATCAAAAGTGTCAGAGGCTCGCTTTCTGGGACGGAGGGCCCAGGCAACGAAGAAGAGCGCTTGCAATATGCTTCGTACCTTCAAGATAGGCTCAAGGATTACGCCACTGACCAGACGGGTTTACAACCCGGCCCTCAAGTTTGGGTTTGGGAAGGGTCTAATACAGCAAAGCTCGAGGGTATGATTGACGAGTCTGGGACTTTTGATAACCTTGTCAGTGGCAAATTGCCGAGAAAGGGCCAGCGAATAATTTATGTTGACGGAGGGTTTGATCTTTTCTCCTCTGGTCATATTGAATTTCTTCGCCAAGTTTTGGCGATCGAGGAATTTGAAGGCCGACAGCGTGGCTGGTACGACCACGAACAAAAACAGCAGAGACTAAAAGATCATGGAGAAGACTATGGGCCGACTTATGTTGTAGCTGGCGTCCATGATGATGATGTGATAAACCACTGGAAAGGATTGAATTATCCCATCATGAACATTTTTGAAAGAGGTCTCTGTGTCCTTCAATGCCGAGTAAGTTTTGATTATTTCCTCCACATTGAAGCCTGATTTTCGCCTGACATCTCTAGTATATCCATGCTGTCGTGTTCTCGGCTCCATTTTCGCCAAGCCGGCGATACTTAGAGGCAATGCCGTTAGGCGTGCCGGACGTCGTTTACCATGGCCCTACCACATTCATCCCACTAACATATGATCCTTACGCCGCCCCGAAGCTCATGGGTATATTCCGTGAAACGACCGAACATGCGTTTCAACATGTTAATGCGGGCGAGATCGTCGAACGAATCCTCAAGAGCAGGGAGGCTTATGAAGCAAGACAACGCGCTAAATTGCAAAAGGGTGTTGTTGAGGATCAAGTTAAGTCGATGGAAGGCTAAATGGAGAGATCAGACACCAATTAAGTGAGTAGAGCCTCCATGCAAGTTGATAAGACTCGCGGAGATAATTGATAACTATTTTTGTCTAGCAAAAGGTTCAGGTGGACTCGTAATCTTTCACTTTTGATAGGCCATGGTCCTCTTACTAACAAATGTAGCGCCAAAATTCAAAGCAGAGTTTATAGATACTAAAGATATACGGATACGTTAAAATTACATTGAATATAGCTTGGCTTAGCCCAAATGAGTATCATTCTATTCAGCCACCAGAACACCTTTCTCTTCCAAGAGCTTGGAAAGCTCGCCGTTTTGATGCATTGACATCAGAATATCACACCCACCAACGAACTCCTTCTCCAAATATAATTGTGGAATCGTGGGCCAGTCCGAGTATTCTTTGATTCCTGTGAAAAAGCGTGAGCTAACCGTAGTCAAAACAAAAATCAGAGTAAAACATAAACTTACCCTGACGTAGCTCTAGATCTTCCAGAACATTAAACGCAACGAACTTCTTTGGATCAACTCCCTGTAGGCCTAGAATCTGGATGCTTGCCCGTGAGAATCCGCATTGCGGAGTCTCTGGGGTACCCTTCATGAAGAGAACCACAGGGGCCGATGCAACTGCTTTATCGATCGCTGCTTTCGTTTCGGTCGAGATTAGACGGGCTTGAAGAATACAAGGGAGCTGGCTCGCGAACTGGCTCGCGAACTGGGGTCGGAATAGAGGCCGTCGGAGTGTCTAGGTCGCCGATTAGAGGTTGGCCGCCGACATAGCGGAGAAAAGGTTTGGCAAAAGCAATTTGAAAACTTATAGTGGGGAGATGTATAACTTACAGACGAGAACACTGTCCTTGAAAACATGGTGACTGTTGACTGTTTGGATGACGGAGCAGACGATGGCAAAATAATTACCTTGTATATCACTGGTCGCAATCACGTGCAGTATATACCCACCCATTTCTAATCCGGCACCCGCATGATCATTTGCGGACTTCCGTACTTCCTCATACTGGGATGTATCTACTAACTATAGCAGGACTGTAACCAGAATAGATGATGTTTTGTTTCCTACTACATCACTACTGAGTCCCCATCCAAACCGGTCACGTCACACTGCGCACCTTACCATTTATTCCCGCGGACATACCCAAGCCATTGACAACACTGGTTATCATTTGCTATAAGTATCATGGAATTTGCGAGTACCCGCTTTTCGGCCAAGCAGCACTTGAACGATGGCAAACTCCATATTCTTCTGGCAGCTAGCGGATCTGTCGCCACGATAAAGCTCTCTAATATAGCAGAAGCTCTCGGCCGCCACCGCAATGTGTCAATTCGCATTATTGTAACCCAGTCAGCCGAGAAGTTCCTCATTGGCCAAAGCCTGGAGCAACCGTCACTCGACCGCCTACGCCAAACCCCCGGTGTAGATGCTATATACCGAGACGAAGATGAATGGAAGAATCCGTGGGTTCGAGGAGATCCAATATTGCATATCGAACTAAGAAAGTGGGCGCACTTACTTCTTATTGCCCCGCTTTCTGCAAATACGATGGCTAAGATGATTGCTGGCATTGCGGATAACCTCCTTCTCTCGGTCATTAGAGCATGGGACACGACTGGAATGGTAGACTTTGACCTCAAGGATAAGAAGCCTCTTGTGTTTGTTGCTCCTGCGATGAATACTGCTATGTGGAGCCATCCTGTCACAGGGAAGCAACTCACAATATTACGAAACGAGTGGGGCTGGAGTTCTTCTAACAAAGACGGTTGGGTTTGTATTCTTCCCCCGATAGAGAAATCTCTAGCTTGTGGCGATACCGGGAATGGCGCTATGATGGACTGGAGGGATATAGTTGAGAGCGTGGAGGATTACACAGGCCTGAAAAGGACAAACTCAGACGATGAAAAGAGCTGAGCTATTCAATTGATTCGATCTGTTGATCAAAATTGATCGTCTTATGACTCACTTTTTTGTCGTCTGTCTGTACCATAAACTTCATATACGTGGGCGAGGTATTCGAAAAGCATACCCATGGAGATGCCCCCGCCAGTTAATAAACAACCGTTCTTAAACCACCACCAGCAACTTTGGGTACTTTTCAGGTTGACTCTTCGAATCATGATTCCTAGTGTGAAGGCGGCACTACCGCAACTGCCGACAAAGAAAATTGGACCGGCACCAGCTGCCAATCCTGCAGCGGCAAGAAAAGCCACCTGAACAACCGCTAACCCGGAGAGAACCGTTTTTGTGTTGTGTTCGTGACGAAGAGCAATTGACTTGATCCCGGCAGTTATGTCGTCTTTGATGTCCATGTGCGCATATATCATATCGTATAAAACAGTCCAGGAGACACAGCTAGAATAAAGAGCAGCAGTGGCCATCAAGGCATTTGGGTGTGCCACAAGATCGATGCCCAAAGCGGGAAATCCCATTATAGCTCCCCAAGAAAATGTTAATCCTAGGACAGCTTGGGGATAATATGTTACACGCTTGGCAAGGGGATAAGACCCTACTAGCAGCAGACTGGGGATGCCATACCAAAGGCACTGGGAGGGAAATTGAAGCAAAATTCCCAATCCCGCTAGAAGTTGAGTGCCGGTGAAAATAACGGCCTTTTCCGGGGATATTGCACCTCTTGCAATGGGTCGAAACTTTGTGCGTTCAACATGCGGATCCAGATTCCTATCCCATAAATCGTTGATTGCACATCCTGCCCCCCGCATTATCAAAGCACCACAAAAAAAAAGCCCTGTAGTCCCAAGCACTTGAAGCGTTGAAATCGCAGGTGTCATCGTTGCTGCAAGCAAGGTGGAGAACGCGCAAGGGAAAAATAAATAATATGTTCCTGCAGGCTTGTCAAGGCGTATTAACTCGGTGTATGGTAACCACGACCGGGGTAAGACGGCGACGAGTCCTGTTTGAGGGGGTATGTATTGGTTCACAGCACCCCCCTTTTTCTTCTCATGAGAAACTCCAGTCGCAGTTGGGCGGGGTGTGGTATTTAGAAATCTCGCATTGAAAATTGCGCCCTTGGATCGGGCGGTTAGCGGCCTGGTTGCTTTTGAAGTAACGTTTGAATATCTCGAAACTCTCATAATCTTGCACTGATTCAAGCGAATTCTGCTTGTGTAACTTGTGAAGCAGCCATCATGTGGAAATGTCCTCCGAGAGCCGTGAAAGTGCAAGAATGGGAACAGCGGCAGACAAGAGGTGGTGGGACGCATTCTGATATAACTGAGGTGTATCTGGGATACTAAACTTAATGATTTAGGATATTATGCCTTGTAGACACGAATACTCCTCAGCAGGTCGTAGGTCTGGGGCAAGTGATCAATGAGGGCCCATTATTCTGTTCTTTGAAGTCACGACGTGAAAGGATAAATAGTCAGTCCAGGGACAAATTATATGCCATATAACTTGGGATATTCACTGCATGATAAGATTTCCTTGCTAGACCTGTCTTTTCCAAGCAAGTATAGTTTTGAATATCAGAAGTAAAACTCACATTATTGAGCTTGAACTAAATTCTATTGCCAACAAACTGAGAGGAGCTTATCACGTGAAGTCGCGTTGGTCCGTGTCTAAGTAGCCTGTTTAGGAATAGTCTTCAGTGAGACTGATAAATGACCAAAGTAACAGAAGACATGCGCCAGTGAGAAAATAACCTTCATACGCCAATACTATGGATGTTACAGCTGAAAACCAAATTGCCTGAACACTACCCATAGTACTTCCACAATTATCAAACTTAGCTTTCCTTCTTCGATGATGATTCTGTCGGTGTCAGCATCTAGGTGCGCGGCCTACAACACAAGCCTGCGCATTCAATGAAACTGCCACTCTACTCTTCTGGACTTCTTTTTTTGTTCTCTTCCACTCGCGTACCGTTACAAAACTCGGTATTTGCTACTCTTTTGGTGGGAAGCGCATATTTCCACATCTTCACAAGCATCGGGTCCAACTTGGTACATTAAATCGCCGTAAAGATGCCAGCTCAGCGGCCTCGAGCGGCCTTTGAGCCGCTGTCTCCAAATTTAGATGTTCCGGATCTTATAAGATCAACACCTAACTTCGAAGAGGCGGTGCGGATCCCTTGCGATGCAATAGACGAGAATGGCCTTGAAAACTTTGAAAAGCTTGTACTTCTTCACGTTATTGTGCGGGGGCTGCCCCTTGTCGTTGAAGGGTTTGAGAAGAAGCTTGATAGTGCGATATTCTCTGAGAAATGGCTGAGAAATCACTACTCTGCGAAGCGTGAGCATGAATCCCTTTCGCTCCGACCCCTTCTTTGATCTCTACCTGTGCTAATAAGAATATCGAATACAGGAGAGGACGCCCGAGACCTGACAGCGAAAAAGAGTGTACCGCTCACAGTTGGGCACTACCTGAAGAACCTGCCAATGCTTACAGACCAGTGGAATGGATATAACTACAAAGACCCAAGCCTCCAAAGACTATACCTCAAAGACATTGATTGCCCAAAAATCTGGCACGATTACTTGAAGAAGATTGTACCTCCCTTCTTATTCTACCTTAACAACTCGGCCGAGCCTAAGAATTTCGAAGGTCCGGGGGCGAACTCATCCTCATTCCTTAAAACACGACAAGCTCCAGGGAGTCGGGTAGCCAAAGCAGGTGACTTGATGAGTTGCCTCCCGCATGACATGCGTGCCGACAATCTGATGTGTTACATCGGCCATGAGGGAACGTATACGCCAGCGCATCAAGAGATGTGCGCTAGCCTTGGCCAAAATCTCATGGTGGACGCGTCAGACGGATCAATTGAGAATAGTAAGGCTACAAATCCAGGGTCTTCGATATGGTTTATGACCAGTAGCAAAGACCGAAAACTCGTGTCAGAATACTGGGTGTCTGTACTGGGCCATGACATAAACATAGAGGACCATTTTGCGCAAATAAATGCATGGAAAGCTGCTCCATTTACCACATATATTGTTGAGCAGCGGCCAGGCGATTTTGTCCTTGTGCCTCCATTGGCCGCACACCAAGTGTGGAATCGTGGAACGCGAACAATAAAGGTCGCATGGAATAGGACGACGGTTGAAACGCTAGAAAGAGCGCTGAACGAAGCATTACCGAACGCTAGAATGGTGTGTCGAGACGAGCAATACAAGAACAAAGCCATAGTATTCCATTCGCTCAAACAATATTCAGTGCTCCTTAATAGCGTCGATGAAGCGAGTATTAGCCACCCAAGAGTCCAGCAACTGCAGGGCGAATTCGAACAACTATTTGCTCTTTACAACCAAGTTCTGCTCTCCGAATCGTTTTCAGTAACCCCACCTAAAGAGAAGAGCATTGAATTCATACCATTTGACAGCAATGTCACTTGTGCTTACTGCAGAGGCAACATCTTCAATCGGTTCTTGACATGCCCATCCTGTGCTAAAATGCCAGCCGGGGAAAACCTTCCTTACGATGTCTGCATGGAGTGTTATGCTATGGGTCGAAGCTGTGCGTGTATCTCAAAACTAAAATGGGCCGAGCAATTCAAATGGGAAGAGCTTCTTGGGAAGCACGAAACCTGGAGGCAGCAGCTTCTTGGGTTCAATCCTGATATCGGAGACAGATACCGGCCATTCCGCATAGAGCGCGCAGAGATGGGCAAGAAAAGCCTGGCACAAATATGCCAAGAGGAACTAAAACGACGCCCATGGGTTGATATCACCAAACCAAATCCCATTGTCGAAGAGGTAGTAGATGAGACGAGTGAACCTGAAAAAGATGGCCGCCCGACGAAGCGCAGGAAGAAATCAAAGTCAAAAGCTCCCCGCTGCCACATTTGCAAATATATAGAGCCGGAGTGGAAGCTGGCCTCTTGTTCGAATCCGAAATGCTCCTTAAGATACTGCTATGGTAGCCTATTCAGAGCATTCAATATGCTACCTCGAGAGATATTGGAGACCATTTATTGGGAATGTCCCAGGTGTCGAAAGATTTGCAGCTGTGGCGCCTGCCGCAAAAATCCCAGAATGACACCGTTTGAGCCCACGTGTACATCGCTTGGCCACGACACGAGCAAGGTAGCGGATGTCCGCAGCGTGGAGAGCTTAGTGGACTTCCGACACTCAAATCTCGGCTGGTTAAAGAAAGCCGGCAGTGATGAGATAGGTCGGCTCAGGAAGCACCAGGAGGACGCAGATGCTAAACGTAACCAAGCTCTAGAGGACAATTCAATACAGGTCGAGTTCTACCCCGATATGTCGCAAAATTCTGATTACAGCCAGTTGGAGTTGGAGCATGTAGCCCGAGCCGCATTCTCGTCTGCAGATTACGCTAATATTCCTGTCGACCCAGCACTGGAAACATCGGTCCTCGGGCCGTTTGATACTTGAGTGTAGTCGTGCAACTTCAGAATTGCCGAAAGCCCGTTCTTTGAGAAGCCGGGCTGCTTATAATACATAGATGAATATAATTTGTTCGTGACGTTGAGAGCATCTGTAGCGGAGCTGGTTACATACTACTTGTCCTTGCCAGATACTAGTAGTAGTTAGACTATATGTGCGGATCATAACCAAATAATCGACCCGCCAAGCATCTAATGCTACTCAACCCTAGGCTCCTTTGTACTCATATCGAAGATCTTCCAGCGGCTTGAGATCAACAGACACCATAACGTGGCGAACAATCAGAATAGTGGTTAGTAAAGCTTTCGTCAATCAGTCATCATTTCCCCAAGAAAGCAAATCCGGAACAACAACGGAGTTTGATCAAGCAAAAGGCTACTAGATGTTTGAGGACTTACCGACAGGAACGAGGTACACAACAGGCTGGGCCCCAATTGACGCCTCTGAGGAAGTAAAATAAACCAACACCAAGAAAGCACTTATGCCAGAATTTCCTGGAATTATGTACCTCCGCACAAGGTCCGGATGTCGTACAGGCCTCTTGCCCTTCGGGTCGGGACGTTGCGGCGGGACATATTTTATCGTATAGGTGGTAGCTAACAACGATATTATGCTGATAAGGGACAAAAACCGTGTGAATACTCCCAGCGCATGCGAGGATAGCAGCGATGGGACAAATACTATTATCGATAAGAGGGGAATTGCAGCGAAAACTACCTGGGTACCATCATCAGTATCCATGTACATAACGGCCGCGAGCAAAGCAGGGCAGGCGAATAGTTACACTGTACTGCGAATCTCGTTCCTCATTTTGTATTTTCAGGTTCTTGATTACACGTTCCTGTTCTAGAAACAAACATCAGAGGAGCAATCTTTTGGGGAACAGAGTTTCAGCGGACCTTCTTCGTCTAGTTCCTCTCGGGCAATGTCATCGCCCGAGTCATCCGGATAGCGAAATGCCTTGCGTAGTCTCGCGGATTCCATCTGAATAGATCATTCGTATTTTGAATACGTCGTTTATTAAGAGTAGTTGACACGAAATTTTGAGCACAAGGGCAGTCTCGGAGGGGGTCTTAGCTCATGGTCACCACAGAGTATATCAGATGCCCCGGTTTGTCTTGTTTGATTTTCCAATTCCGCTCTGCTTATTCCAATCAACCCTCGGTCACATATGTACCCCGTCTCTCCCAATCACTTTCACCTTCTACACGCGATCTCGCAAGGTCTCTCTTGACTACATTAGAAGACCGGATTTAATTGATCTGCTACGCTCAATCAATGGTTTTCCAAATTGTTCGGAGACGCCTCGGCGTCTCGCGACTCCCAAACACAACCATCCGATTTTCTCCCCGTCGCACCCTCATCCCCGCCCCAGCTGCCAATTCCGGCCCTATAACAGAACGTCGAGCAGACCGTGAACTCCCCTCCGTAAACTCTGAGGGCCGGCGATGGATCCGAACTTTGCCGATTTTCGCAGTGGTTGTAGGCGCCGCCATGCTCGGCATCTTCAACTACCAAAAGTCTTCTTCAAGTGTTGTGAGTAGCACTTTGTATGCTCTTCGGACCTCACCTCGTGCGCGAGAAATCCTGGGCGATCAGATCTACTTTGCGCAGAAGATTCCATGGATTAGCGGGGAGATGAATCAGCTACATGGGCGGATTGATATATCTTTTTGGGTGAAAGGGACGAAGTCACAAGGGAAAATGAAGTTCAAGAGCATTCGGCCGGACCGTATGAGTTTTGTAAGTTTTTCAATTGCCACCGCATCAAAGAAATTGGTTGTTAATAGAATCGGCGCTTAGTTCCGCACCGAAGAATGGAGCTTGGAGACAGAAGACGGGAATGTGATCCAGCTCCTAGAGAATAATTACGACCCATTCCTCCAGGAATGAGCAAATGTCGGGAACTAGAAACGACTGCTAGAGCAATTTTTATACGGCCCCCTCCCAAACTATATTTGGATATTCCTTGCGCATTAGGTCGAGGCGTTCGGGCTGTGCATTTATTTATTCGTTATAGCGAACCTTGAACAGGAACAGCTGATTTGGCCAGAGAAAAATGCAACTAAAAAAATGAGGATATAATTTATGTATCATACAGACGCCACTCTAGAAACAAAATAATGTAATAGTACATTTTCAAGAAAAGGACCAGGCCGAAGTTACGTCGACGCTTCAACCGATTCCGCGATTGTTGGCCACGGCTTCTTGATTGCATCCTGTATCCTGACAGCGCAACCTTTAGGGCCACTCACGCAACCTATGGAGTCAAAAGTTAGCCTCGGCTTTCCAAGTCAGTTGAAGAGAAAGGTCGCATACCGTTAACCAGAACAAGCCCATTCTCTATATCGACCTTGAGAATCCTCAAATTTTGCACTGTGTTCTGTTCATTCCCCATGTTTCCTGCCATCTTCTTTCCAGGATAGACCCTGGAGCCACCACCCTGACTAGGACCCGCTGAACCAAGCGAACGATGCGTCAAACTGACACCGTGGCTGCGATCTTGACCTCCGAAGCCGTGTCTTTTCATCACACCTGCAAACCCCTTACCCTTTGAATTCGACCTCGCGTCCACGTACTGGCCCTCCTGGAACCAATCTGCATTCACGCTCTGACCAACAGGGATTAGGCCACTTTCATCCTTGACCCGGAACTCATACACATATCGCTTTGGTGACACTCCTTGTCCTGAAAAGTGACCCAATAACGACTTTGTCACATTGGTAGGATGTTTCCATCCTGCACCGATTTGTACAGCGTAGTAGCCGTGTACGTCCTTCGTCTTATGCGCAACGACCTGGACGCGGTCTAACTGGAGAACAGTACACGGGATACGCTTCCCTGTTTCGGGGTCGAAAATGGCAGTCATCCCCTTTTTGATCGTGATTGCACCGGTGCGAGGCGGTAATGTATTGGCTTTACGCTCCAGGGCTGCGGCAGGGGTTGACTTGAGAACGGGGAGGTCAGGGCCCTCATTATATCGCGAATGTTTGGGAGGATTTAAGGAGCGAATGCCGAATGTGCGGGTGGGAATAGCATTTTGAGCGGCCACTTGGGGAGTAAAGGCACCGACAGAGAAAGGAAGTTGTACCAGTTTCCTTGGTAGACGTGGAGACATGGCGAGTGTTAGTTGTGTGTAGCGTTGGCTTCTTTACAATGGATTGGAATTGGAGAGAAATTTCGAATCGATATTTGGCTAGGCGGTGAATTTATGCCCGATATATGAGGCATAAAACACCGCAGTCTTGAGATCTTCCGTATTCAGGAATTTAGGGAAAATAGTCGCTTCTGCATAATAATAATAGAAATGAAAATAGGCCATTCTAAAATAATAGACGTGGTCTCACGTTGTCATCGTCTGTTAAATACTGGGAGAAAACTTAACTCCGACGCCGCAACAAAGCCGTCCCGGAACATCCGCTTTCACCTCCGTCCCCGAACCTTATAATTTTCTCTCTGCGTCATCCTACTACCTTCGACTTCCTTCTTAAGATAATAATATATTCGACATCTTACCCTCTCAATACTACACATGAACAAGATAGTATAACGATCTATCACTTCTCTTGCATAATTTCGTCTCGCACCTGGAAAAGGTTAAAGAGACAACAAGACCAGGAGTGCAAGGAAACAAAGTCCTCGCCGTGTATAACATAACATGTCTCTTCAACACCCTCTCAAGCGCTGGACTCAACGGCCTCTTATTTTCAAATTCACCTCCGTCACACCCTCATCCGCAACCCGCTTGCCAACCCGCCGCCCTTTCTCCCTCACGCCGTACGCGCAAAACCAGCTTCTCCAAAGGCAGACACCGCTGAAACCAGTCCAGCAATCCCGATTTCAAAATACGTTCCGTGCCGGACGCGCTTTCCACAGCACGCGGCCCCGGTCTAACAAATCCTCTGGATACGCATACCAATCCCCGAACGCGGCGCCCTCCCTCTCACAGCGTCTCAAGACCTTGTCCCGGGAATATGGTTGGTCTGCTCTCTGGATATACCTTTTTCTCTCGGCGTTGGACTTTCCGTTCTGTTTTGCGGCTGTGAAACTTCTGGGCGCCGACAAGATCGGTCATTACGAGCATGTTGTTGTTGAAAGCATCAAAGGAGGTGCTAACAAGGTTTGGCCCGGGGCGTTTGAGGAATCCAAGGAGGAAGAGGACGAAGGGCAGGGATCCGAAACTCAAGCTATTGAGAAGAAGAAGGGGCCAGCTGAGGAAGCTAGTATGTTTTATGCCTTTTTTGTTGGAGTTGTTTTGACCTATGGTACTAACTATTCACCTTGCTAGGTCTATGGACCCAGTTGGCTCTTGCTTATGCCATCCACAAGAGTTTCATTTTCGTGCGTGTGCCTCTGACAGCGGCTATCACGCCAAAGGTTGTCAAGCAGCTGAGGAAATGGGGCTGGGATGTGGTGAAGGGCAAACCGAAAGCCAAATAGTTTTCGTTTCCTGCCAATGCATTTCCCTACACATTGTATTATTGCCTACTTGAACCTGTCGGACGACCTGTGGCCTGTGTTATACCACATCGGGCTTTCTAATTGTTGCATAGCGTTCTTTAAATTAGATATTGGACACCTTAGTGTTGTACATTGTACATTAGTTAGATCTAATCCCTCCACTCTCGCAGTTTTGTCACCGGGTATTCGCCAAACAGGGGGGTTATGAGATAGAAAAGAATAAAAAACTTGATCCAGGTCTTTCTCATTCACCAAAAAAAACGGAAAACTTTCAACAAAGAGAAGCAACACTAAAAAACAAATGCTGCTGATGAAAATGCAATAAAACAACACACAGATAGCCACCGATGAAAAAAAAAAAAAAAAAAAAAAAGGCAACACTGCTTGAGAGATCATGATCTTCGTTCCTTGAGATATATAGGAAATTATGGAAAGGGAAAGAGACAAAGAAGCTATACGGGGTATGGGTGGATATGAAAAATTAAAAAAAGACGCAAGTCACATCACATGTCGATCATATCATTGAACCTCAAAATTCCGTTAGCTTTCATTAAACCATTAACACCTTCAGGCATGCGGTATGCCAATTCGGCCACGCCCATAGAGCCGGCGGCGCCCAGACTTTGGCTGTCCGGTTGTTCGGCTTCATCGGAGGTATCCGCTACAAGGACAAGGCCGAGTTCCTTGATAGTTGCTACCAGAGCCGGCACGACGTTCTATAAGTGAGATATCTTGTTAGTGTGTGCGTGGTAATATGTATTGGAGTGAATTGTCCCGAGATCACGGATGCATACCAAAAGGCTGGATCGGCATATCAGACCCATAAAATTGTTGCTCTGCGCTATACGCGCCGATTCCTTGATAGACATTGACGCCCGACCACTGCTGTCAACATCTGGATGGGTCCCGGCGTCACGGGCCAAATCGCGGATTTGACCAAGATCGTTGCAAAGGAGCACAGGGTCTTAAGAATTTGGGTTAGTACACAGTATTATATCCGTAGCGCCTAATATAGCAGGGAACTTACAGTTAGGTTGTTTCCAATTCAAAGCAATGCATATATTAGCGTTGTAAGACGTGAACACGACAGATCGCATGAATTCAGGGTTTTTATCGCGTGCTACACGAGCATGGTCGAAAACGACTGTCAAGATAGCGTCGGCGAATGTATTAACGTCTGCCATAGAGGTCATGTTCAAAGATTGTTCCTCCGCAGCTGATGGGTAAAGGATAGAGAGGTTGACATTGACATCAACCGGGAGGTTCCCGAAAACCTCGTGTAGAGATAAGAATGATGCGGCGAGTATTCTATGCGTTAGGGCTATGTCTTGAGAAGCACGTGTCTGCAGAAACTGGAGAATATCTGCTCTGTTAACAGCCTTTTCAGCACCGAGGGCTTGGAATTCAGATAAAGTAAGATGGCAGAGAGGAATATCAATGCCATAGTGTTTCACCGTGTATTGTGGGTGGACCACGGGTATCCTATCCCTTGTGAGTTGTACGAAAAGTTGAATATGGTCTCCCGAAAGACTGGATCCAGTGACCAAGCCACTGTGATCAGATTCACCAGTGCTCGTTGCCTTCCAGTATGTGGCGAAATGGGTGATTTCTAGAGGGTCCCCATGATATGGCTTGATGACTTGGAATCCAAAGCGAAGCTGCCCAATCGATCGTAATCGAGGATCGAAAAGTGGCAAACAACAGGAGCCAGCGCTGGACTTCTCTGCTTTGAATACTGTCGGAAGTGCTACCGTCTTAGCGATCACCTTGGAGCCAAACGTGGGGAAAATCTCAAAGTCCACGGTAAAAGTTTGCAGGGTATCAACATGGAATGAAATCATTCGCGAGTCTTCTTGAATTGGGAGCATCACAGTTCGCGGAATTAATTCGGAAAGTTTCGAAGAAATAGTCAACCGAGCAGCAGGATAGCGCCCAGCTTGGTCAAAGGAAATTGAGCTACCAGGATCGAACAAAATCTGGACGAAAACCTTTTTGTCCAAGAAGTTGTGTCCATATCGTCGGAGTGGAATGATTGGTGGAGGAAGCGATAGGATGGGGATGCCGTCCACCGTTTCCATATCATCGGCCTCTGTTGTAGTTTGCTCCTGCCAGGAAATAGTAGAGTTATGCTCTTGGAGTCTCAAGCCATTCAGAATGTCCAATGGTCGATGGGACTGCTGTGACTCAGTATGGTGAGACCACAGCAAGAGCATGCATTCCAAATGGCCTTCCCAGGCAGCATAGTACATTGCTGCCAGGTCCTTCTCATCCTTAACATCCGCATCTACCCCAAGCTCCAGAAGCGTTCGCAAACAATTGACGCAACCCTCACTGGCAGCATGGAAAAGAGGCGTCCACTGGTAGAGCTTATCTCTTTGGTTAAGATCCGCACCGTGCTGCTTGAGTAATAGCAGAATTTCGGGAGACTGTGAAGCTCGCGCCACCATGTGCTGAGGATAGAGGCCTTCCGCATCGGGGAGGAGCTGGGCCTTCCTTTCTAAAAGCATCTTAACAATGGGGAGTGACCCATGTTGGCATGCCAGATTCAGTGGAATATGATCGGACTCGGATACGGGGTCGATGCGGGAATTATGGCGGAGAAGCTGGTCAGCGCAGTCCAGCTGATTCTTGACAATGCTATGTATCAACGGGGTGAAATTGTCGTGGTCCATCATGTCAACAGTACTAGGATCCGTCTCTAGTAGCTGCTGCACCATCTCCACACGGCCATGTATACAAGCATAGTGAAGGGGTATTCTCCCATAGACATCTGTCCGAGATGCTTGGACACCCGCCTCTAGACCAGCCTTGAAAACGAAATTCCGGCCAGAGATGGCCGCCTCGTGCAGGCAATTCCGCTCGTTGATATCATCCTCAGCAAAAATATCGACCAATTTACTCCCAAGAAGGATGGCAAGGACATCGTCAGAGAATTCGTTGATTGCGGCGAGGAAAGTACGCGTAGCTCGTTCGCGGGAGTCAGGGGACTTTTGCAGCTTGTCTGCCCACTCGCGCAAGGCCTGTAGATTCCCCGCAGTAGCCGACTGCAGAACTTGAAGATCAAGGTCTTCTTCTCCTGAGCCGAAAGGCTGAAGGGCCGTGGTCCGTTCGGCTGAACGAGTCGTATCGAACTGTATATTTTCACCCTCCGCCCAAGCTTCGAGCTCTATTCGGGCGGTAGTCGCCCGATCAGAAAGGTCACGTAAAACATCTCTATTGAAACATGGTTGTACTTCGACGGCGCGGTGAAGATATAGTTCCTTCATGCGAGACTGTCAAGAAAATATGGTAAGCGGGTTGAACGCAAGTAAAGAGAAAAAACTTGAAGGATGAGGGGTGCGTAGATGGACAATAATCCAGACCTTTGACGTTTTGTCCCACTAGATTTCCAAGTTAGCGATATCAAATCCATAGAAAGGAACATAAATCTCCATTTTGACGTACCTTCTTGAGGATCTTTGACATAGCTGTCTCATTGATCTCAACAAATTGCTGTATCGCACACAAAGGGCATGAGAACCGATTCTTCCAACTGACTAAATGCCAACGAGCTCACCTGGAGTTTATTCAAATCGCCATCGAACTGTTGGAGGCCTTCGAGGAGTGCGACAAGGTTTGCTGGAGCTTTAGATTTAGTCACCGTTCGCGACTGCACGACTCGCTTTTTATCAACCAAGGTTTTTAACCGTTGCGAGAACTGTTATTTAGTATTAGAAACAATGTAAGCTCGGACGTATTTAAAGCCTCGAGACAGACCTCGGCTTCTTTCTGTAGGTAGAAAGTATTGACTTTTTCGATTTCGCGCTCCTGGTGGGAAAATTTAGTAAACCTCCGAGCGCGTGGTTCTCTTCTCCAAGGTGCCATACCAGTCGGAAGAAAAACACCTCCTTGTTGGCGCGAAGCGCAGCTTGCGCTTCGGAGGCATTTTGAGGGACGGTCACAGAGCTCTGGGCGGGAATAGTCGGGGTTGCACTCAATTGTTTGATAAGCTGTTTTGTTTGGCATCAGCACAAATGGTAAAGACGGTCTCGAGATGGGCAACTATTGACCTTCTTTAATGCTTTATAATTCACGAAACTCGCGGCATATTCCGGCAGATCAAGCTGCCTGCGCTGGATTTGTTTGCCGAACTTCCTGCATCGGAACGGTCAGTAATCTGCAGCGATTTGCAGTCGATTGCCCCGTAGCTCCAACAAAGATTCTCCCTCTGACGGGATACGTACATGTTGACAGACGCACTTCAAAGGCCAAAGGCTCTTTGCCAGTACCTCAACCCAGATGTAGCTAACCAGGCGGGGGGACCAATGCCCAGTTAATGGCGAATTGAGCGGCAGTCAAAACCGGAAGGCCGTCAATGGGAAGATCCGTAATGGATTCGAAGAGTAGGATTTAAGTAAAAGGAAGAATAAGTAGAGAAGAAAATAAAAGGAGGAGGGGGGGAAAACTAGTGGAAGAGGTGACCGCGAGGATAACCAAACCTACCCCTCGGCGGAGGTGTTTCGACAGAGGGGACGCAAAGTAGTCTCTGGGCAGACAAGCGTGCTGAAGTGGGGCAAAGACAGATGGATAGAGCTGCCAGTAGGTGAAAGACAAGCAGCAGGATCCAGAAGACGTCGTTCTAGAGTTGAGACGTGTGGAGTCCGAGTTGGGATAGGAAGATGACGACTCAAGGGCGCCGATTCCTCGGGCAGCCTACTATACTCCGTCGCACTCAATTAAGTCCAAATGCGGGTATATTTAGTACCCCGAAGTAGGTACTCAGCCGCGCAAGAAGTCCAAGGGCACGTCTTTGATCCCTTGTTCTACAAAAATGGCGATGATATAGGCATGGTATATTCACTGAGATCGAAGTGGCAATGAGCGATGTATAATCTCTTTTTACCTAACCCAACTGGAAGGTATGCTGAAACCGTGCCTAAAGTAAGCTTTGCCTTTCTTTCTTTCTTTTTTTTTTTTGCGTCAGTACAAGCCGAAGCAGGTCATGGCGGGGGACGCTCCAGCAACATACCTAAATGGAAAGTGACCAGGGGATCGTTTCCAAAAGGGACGAATGGCCCGGGAAAAGAGCAAATAGAAATGGCAAACGACGGGCGACAGACATATGGGGAGGACTTGAAAGCAAGTGCTGAGAGGATGTTCATGTCAAGCGGAAGGGAAAGGGTGAGGTGGAGAGCTCTGAGGGAGCTGGCTCCGACCCAATCACCACCACCAACGAGCCCACGTTGCATGCCCTTTGGCCACACTAAAGCTGCAGGCCCTGGATAACAATCCAACCAAAGCCACCTCAATCGCAACGTGCGCTGCCCAAACAAGCCCCCCGATCTGTTGTTGATGTTGGCCGTGGTTCTCCCTCTTGGTTTGTTCTCGCTTCAAACCTTGGGCTGAAGCACCAATTCCTGAAGATGATGTCACCAGTCGCACTTCCATTTTGCAGACATGAGATCAGCTCGTAGCCTCATCGTCAATCTTCGCTGGATGCGGCGTTTTAAGGCCATTCAAGACTGATAAATTGCTAGCGAACCTAGCCTCATGTAGATACCTGACCACTGATAGGCGGGTCAATCTCTTCTTTGCCGACTGAACAATGAAACTGTTATTGGAAAATATATATATATATATATAACTATAACTATACCTGCTCCTGCTCCTCAACCACTTGACTAAGTACGGTAAAACCCCGACCCGAGGATGAATATTCCCACTCCGGCTCCTTTAGCTCCTAAGCTATGAAGTAGAAGACATAGGTCCAAAGTTGCACTTTGTGACGTATATTCGACTTGAAATGTACAGCTTTATTTATTGCCAAACCCGTGCAAGTGAGGGGCTAGGAGAGCCGACCTCCCAGGACGAGGCAATGCATCTAGGCAAGAGGCTGGAACATCAATGACAGAAACCAAAAAAGAAGGGGGAAATGACTGGTTTGATGGGTTAAGAAAGCGGATCTCAAAGCGCTCCTCGCATCTAGCTCAGCCGAAAGAACAGTCGTCAATGTACACACACACACACACACATAGCACACAAAACAGAAAGAAAAGGCAGCAGAGCAGGTTCCACCAAGATAGCGAAGGTAATGTATAGGATGAAAGGGAAAAGAAAATATAAAGATCGCAATATAAATTGGTATCACATTCAAATGGGAGAGAAAGAAAACCACACGAGCCAGACAGACTATCGTGAAATCAGCAAAACCCGAACGCTGGTTCGAAGTTGCGCCGAGCCATGGATTGGCTTCCCAGTCCGATCCAGTTCAAAGATCTGACCGCACAATCAGAGTTGATGTTTAGATCCTCCAGTAAATATATATAAGAAATAAAAATCAGACCTCTACATATTTCTCAGAAATTCTGCGCGATTCCGGCGTTTCCTTGCCGCGGGAACACAGACGGATTCTGGATCTGCGTGTTGCGGCGTGCCTGGACATCCCGAATCACTGGCTGGCCTCCATATGGGTCGCTATACCCCCCATATGGTTGCTGCGCATCGGTATAATCATAGTATGGGCCACCTGGATGTGCGGCAGACATGTGGCTTTCCTCTGAGATATCCGAATGATTTGCAGCAGAATATGCGGATGATGCATTGGATGGGCCACGGTTGATATCGACATTGCGCTGATTAGAGGTAGCAGCGCCAGCGACAGGAGCCGCGCCCAGAATTCCATAGGGTTCGGTCTCACCAAGACCACCATGTCCTTCAGAATATTGAATGGTGCCATCGCTGGGGGTTGCGGCGTGTTGGTAGCCCGGCTGGCTTCCAGCCTCAGACATTGCCAGGCCAACGCCAGCACTGCTTGATAGATTCGTGGACGCTTTACGGCCTGCAGAAGTTGTCCCCCATCCACGATATCCTGAGTTATCGTCTGCACCGCCGCCCATTACGGCGGGCAGTGTTGGGTCACCGTTCGGATTAAACCCGTACTCCTCAACTTCCTTTCTGCGCTCCTCTTCCGCTACCTTCTTTGCTTTGTGTCTCCTCCAGAGCCACAGCCCTAATAGGACAATTATAGCGACAGAAGCGACCGGAACCACAACTGCGACAGCTATCGTACCACCTGCTGACAGTCCGGAGCCACCGCCGTCTGTGTCTGTTGCCGAAGCAGTGGATGATGACCCTATGGTTGAAGCCGCATCTCCATCTGTTATTGTACTGGTAGTTGTCGAACCCGTTACAGTAACGACGGTTGTGGTTGTTTCTGGACTGGTCTCTGCGCTGGAAGTCGACTCATCAGTACTGGAAGTCGGTTCATCAGTAGTAGATGAAGTTGACTCGTCTGTGGTGGTAGTCGTCGTCGCAGTGCTAGTAGGTGTAGGAGACTCTTGGGTCGTTGAGGTGCTTTCGGTTGTTTCCGTAGATGAGGTACTCTCGGTACTGCTTGACGATGTCGGTTCCTCAGATGATGTTGGTGTTTCCGAGGGAGAAGTCGGTTCAGACTCGGTGGGAGTTGGAGATGGCGTATTCTCGGTCGAGTCCGTATCCGAAGTCGCCGTGGCATTCGGTTGCGCTGGGGTTGAAGGCATGATGTCTGAACTTAGTACCGGGTACCTCGTGATGCCCACCCGAAATTTTCTTTTCCCGCAAATCGATTAGATTGAAATCCGGTGTTTGTCCGTGAAAACGGTCGAATGCAAATATCCAAACAAAAGTCAATTAATTACTCGAGATGTAGCCGATGACGACTTTCATCAACTTTCAAAATTCGAATCCCCAATCGAAAAGAAATGAAAAATATAATTAAACGGATAGTATTGGTAGAATGAAGGTCGACGGTTGTTTTTTGTGAACGGTGGCAGGCGTGCAGGTGTAAAGGGCAGCCTTGGCTAACGAGCCGTCAGGGGCAATTTGAGGAATCTCGACCCAGGCGCACCTATTAATGATAATCGAGCCTCACGCAAAGAAAGAGAATATTCTCATATTAAAAAGGGTGGAGAGGCCAAAATATGGTGGCAGGCAAAGAATTGAAGGGACGGAACCGAAGAAAGAGAAAAGAGAAGGGGAGAGAGGGCGAAGAGCGAGTGAGTGAGATGAGATTGAGATTGAGCGGGCGTGAAAGTGGAGAGACCCCAAGAAAAGAACGGTGTCCCAACTCCTCAGCCTGTAATAACAGTGGGCCCAGGCACTGGAAGTCTGACTAGTACGTCGTAGCAGTATTCTTAGCAACAGCTCGTCTTCCCCAAGTCCCAGTGGACAACAGCCTTTTAAACAGAGACAAAATCAAAGAAAGATTATAGATCCCACAGGCCGACCGCATTATAATTATTATTAATTAAAGTCCAGCGAGTTGGTCTGGAATTCTCCATTGGAACTGCGTTGAAACAGCCGCACGCAGTAACTTGGCGTGCTGCGATCGGAAACCCCGTCTTTACAACAGGAGGATCTTTGCAACCAGGTTTCCAATAATTGCTTTGTTGGTATTCCGAATGCGCATCAGGCTGTCCTGCATATCAGTCCCCAAAGAACAGGTGGCGACGGATTCGATGAATTAAGCAGGAATAATGCCACCGAAGCTGGTTGCAGAGAGCTCCCATGTCTCACGACGACGAACGATTATGGATCCAATGAAGCCCAGAGCAGCGACGTTGGCTTCCCGGATTCGGGTTGGGCCCCCCTTTTCAATTCGGCTTAGTCGCCCCTATGGATCCGTGGATGCCGACATTCGTTGATCGTTATTGGATCATCAATTCATAATCTCGATCGTTTGAGTGGGAAAGACAGAGGAAATTCAACCACTTGAAACCCCTGCCCAATGTCATAAAGGCAGGTAAACTAACAGGATAATCTACCATTAACTGCTATGTAGTTATATTGTGAGTTTTGTCAGGATCAGGCTTAAACCGAACCCCAAAAGTTCATATCGAGCAAACCTTGTGATGGAGAGATTCCAGATCCTGTAATCTGTCCCGAAGAATACGATTGCGTTCATAGGCAAGCCAGGATTCGTTGATCGGTCCGCCTACAGTTCCGACTTGTACCGGGCAGCTGAGCCTCGAGCCTCCTTTCAGGTTCCATGGCTGAGCATGGATTGACGCCCTGGAGACCAGCGGTGCAGGTGGCTGTGCTTCCTTCCATCGGTGGCCTCGTATCCCGTATTCCATTTTGCATATGAGCGCAAGAACTACCTGAGGTTTATCATTTCTGCCATATCTTTCTTTTCAATCCGACAATTATCTCAATTGCCATGTGGCATTGAAAACTGATTCTTATCACTGTAAAAACAATATGTTCAATTGCGGTATCCTCACTTTGAGGGTGGCCGAAGGAAATCCCGAGCAGTAAGTAACAAGGGTACATCCTTCAGCAAAAGTACAAAAAGCTGAAACCCCGGTAAAAGACGAGCCTGTTCTGACTTCGTACCAAAAAAATAACAATGATGTGCCGTTTATATCCGACTCCTAATAGCAGAGATACACGAATAGAATGAAATATGACAATAAACAACAGCCTCTTGTATGCCATTTATGCAATGAGCGTGAATAAGTTACCAGTAACCCAGATTTCACAAGAGCAAATCAAACTCGATAGTACAGATCATAACATGGTATGTCAACTCCAGAATACAGTGGGAAGTCGTCATAAGGATTCGATATTTATTGCCGCATATCCCATGTAGGACGAAGGTTCGACATCAAGTCATCCCTGGTACCAACAGTTTCCGGGGGCAGTCGGCTGACACGGTACGCACCAGTGCGGATATTATTCAAATGTGCTGCTGAGACCCCGGTTCGCGTGCTGCGGATGCTACCGGCATCGCTCGCAGTCTCCTGGGTCTTGAAACGAGGTGGGGGAGCAAAATCTAAATTATCAAAAGCGCCTGACTTTCGCAGTTGGTGTCTGTTAAAAATGTTAGTTTTGATCGTGATTAAGCAATTATAGTTGAGATATAGAAACTTACGGGCTAGGCATAGGTGCCAAGTCGTCGAATACCGAAGTAAGAGGGGTGTGTGCTCGAACCATCGGGCTATAAGGCCGTACTCCACCAAGAGGTGTCTCTGGGCGGCCGTCTTTTTGGTCCCTGAAGCTCGAACCCGGAGCAAAATCAATGGCCGTCATAATGGCATCGTCCTTAAGCAAGTGTGGAGTTGGGAGAACGGTAAGAGGGGCTGGCGGAGGGGCTGGCTTGCGCGGCCCTCGAGCACCAGGGAAACGGGCCGATGCCGACGAGAACGCACGCGGGCCTGGTGAATAGAATTGCTCACTATAGCCACCGATCGAACCTGATGCCATATGGCGCGGCCCGCCTTGAAATCGGGGAGGTGCACGCGGCGGAGGAGTCATGGCACGACGGGTCACTGGCTCAGCGTACGGCGCTGGGAATGCGTCATAGTACTCGCCAGTCACTGGATCGTACACATACTCATCCTCATACGGATAGTATTCTGCTTCGTAGTCTTCGTAGTAAGTTTCTCTTTGGCCCGCTTTGCTTTCGTCGAAATACTCCTTGTAGAATGATCGAATACGATTAGCACGTTGCTCGGGGTTATCAGCCGGATCCTCTGGGGGCAATGGGCGTAACCCCATTGTCAGGCGGCGGGTATCACGGCGAGGATCGAGGCTCATGTTAGATTGCTGTGGCGGCTCCTCTGGTAACGGAGGCATCGGAACCTCATGGGTAGGGCCTGACTCTGCCTTCTCAACGTTCACTGCCGGAACCATTTGGTTGGACGACGCCCTTTCGTCTCCATAATCACTAGCGCCATCGCTCGAGGGGAAAGAAATTCGAGGAGTTGGAATTGACGTATCATGCAGCGGGGCAGGGTTGGGTTCGGTGTGGGCAGAAGCTGTATCCCGTAACACAAAATCGAACTCGTGTTCGGGGCGAGAGTTCAACTGTGCTTGTGCACCTGCAGGGGCATTGTCTTCTGTTGGGCTCTCTGTCGCCAACTCATTGATTGACGTCAATCCTGGAACATGAACGGGACTAGGGCTCCTTGGCAAGTTTAATTCAAAACTCGCGTCATGCACTTGGGGTTGGTTCGCTGAGCTGCGCGGACTGGGCTCACTGGGTGCATTGTAGAGAGGTGGGGAAGAGCGTGAGATCCTTTGAGCATTTCCTAGTAGCCCTTGGTTCATGTCGTCGCCATAGGCTCCTCTCCTTGTTGAGCCAGCAATGCTTGCTGTGTCTTCATGGCCTCGTCGCTGGGATCGAATAGAGTGCGTATCAGGTGAAAAGTACTGATGTGCACGTCGGTACTTATCATCGTCCGTCAGAACCGAGCGGGGCAGCGAATTCATTGAGTCCCTTGAGCCTCGCATATCAGGTGGCATCATATACGGGCTATGCCCAATATCAAGAGAAACACCTTTCATATGATTGATACGTGTACCATCCTTCTCATGCATTCCAGGTCTACCGCCGCCAGCCGGTAAATCTAGTCCAAAGTCAAGAGATTTGTGTTTGTCATTGGCATCTTCGTTTCGGAGTTTCTTTAGGTTTCGCCGATGCAGAAAGTACAACACTATAATCGCACAGACAATTGGGATACTGTATACCGATTAGACACAATGGACGGGGAAGATCAAGGTACAGTGGATAAGACGTCGGGAGAACATACACAGCTCCTAGCACTACAGGCAGTACAGTGTTGTTTGTCGTGCTCGTGTTCTTCTCACATCGAGCAGAGTTATCTCCAGGTTCACACCTCTCGGTCGACCCTGACTCTGCCGTAGGCATTGGCGCTCGTTTTACGATGCCCGGAACTTCGGGAATGACAATCGGCTCGAGAGGAGCAGAGTCAGCTTCCGCGTATTGGCCATGGTGGTGTAGGCGCTGATGATGCCGGTGCATGGTCGCCTAGCTTTTGGTAGTTCAGAAACCAGGGTTCAGCATTTACGATGAAAGCCTGACAGCGGCTCGTTGGGCGCCCCGGAACGTCAGTTTTTAAGCGACGAACGAGTTCCCGGGTGCCATGCAAATCCTTCGAAGCCAGAGGGACAGATAACCCAAGCAAAGCAAGAAGAAGAAAAAACAAGAAACCGAGTTCGAGGCCAAGGTGGTTTGGGCGTTTATCTAGGGCAAGGAGTGAACGGAACGGCGAGTTCCAAGAGAACGAGTGGCGGCCACCGGCCACCGGCAGAGACGAAAAAGAGTGGCTAGATATCGAAAGGTCGATATCCGAGAATTTCAGGAAAGAGCGACGGGAAAACGAAGGTGAGGTGGAAGAGGAAGAGAGGAGAGAGGTGGGTGAGGAGAGAGAACCTGCCTGGACGAGTGACTTTGGAGCGAGCGACCAGGGCAGCGCCCCATTGGGGGACTAGTCGGAGATACTAGTACGACTCGGTAGTGGTCTAGATGAGTGATCCTTCTGTCTGAGGGAAGCAAAATGGGCTGTGAGTTGTTGATGTTTAGCGCTTGTGGGGGCCGTAGATTGGGCCTTTGCTTCTGTAAGGACGTGACGCGCTTTTTATCATGGCCTTCTTTTTTGCTTTGATTGGATTTTAAGACAGGGTGAACCACTGTTTTCGCTCCATCTGTTCAGGGTTCGAAGCTTCTCATGCCGCCATGCAAAAAGGGTGAATGAACCCTTGGTTTGGCTTCTAAATTGGTTAACCCCTGAGCTGGTGACAGGGCCATCCGTCGATAAATGAAGTACCGAGCAATAATAATGGAACAACTGGGTCCACCGACTTCCCCTCTGCGCACCCAAGCCCTGAGCAATTTTGACGGTTTCCTTGAGAAAGAAGAAACTATTATGAGCGACGCCGGGGTCTCGATATGGCCAGCGGTCTGCGCCTGTTGAGTCCTTCTGCTCTTCTGTAACATTCTTTTTCTTTTTCTCTTTGCCACAGCTGGTCCCTTGATGCAGGAAGAAGCAAGGCGCTAAGGCCTCAAACCCATTCCCGTCCCCTGAAAGCCGAGTCCCATAAATGGTCTAGCGTCAGGAACCACCAATCCTTCCATTCCTTCGATGACGGAGCGCCGCCACGCCCATCTTAACTGATCTTGTCATTCGACAAAGATTCCAGGTCAACTTTGTTCGCCAACCCCTCCGGCAATCTCCTGCGTGTTCGACACCAGATACAGTCTACGTCGGTAGAGAATTTTCTATATATAACTTGCAATAAGAATAAATTAGCGCGTGGGTCTGATATTTTGTTCAAGCAAGCAGAACTTGGGGTGGAATATTCACTGCAGCCTCGCAGAGATGCCTCAATTGTCGCGTGTCTTGGCTCCTCATTCTGATGCAATTCAATTAAGCCCGAGACATTAGCGTACCTCACTTTTTCTTCAATAAGACTTGTTCCATGTGCTGGACATGATCTCGGTGTACGCCGTATTAGCTCGTCAACAACAATCAAGGGACTGATAGAGAAGGCTTCAAAGCAGCTGCCTAGCTAAAGGGCCTGGATACTGGAGAGCACCTTATTCTCGTTCTCGCACCCGCATCAAACCCCCACTTTAGGCAACATGGCTAAACCCGATGGTCTTCCTGTCAATAGTATCAAGAGCACGCTGGTAGCTCCAAAATGTTCTCACCGAGTCCGTCAATACTATGCTCTCACCTCTCGGGGGATGGCACGGCTTATCAACATGGATACTTAGTAACTACTCAGTGCGCCATATATTTTTCAACCGCCCATGCTACTAGGTATCCTAAAGGAAACCAGATATCAGCCGGAGTTACATTTGAGTTAGTAAATAAACACACTCGAACCATTACCCAGTATGCTTTCCATGTGGTTCCTGTGGCAGAGTTGCTTAATAACAGTACAATCAATGCGGGTGCTTTTTAACCAGATGGTGGAGTATAACTCGTGGGGTAATACCACTCGCCCATAAAACACCAGCTAGTATTTACCCGTCCTTAGATATTGCCTATATGCTAGCACGTCTCTATCTGGTTGCTGTTCTCCAACGCCATTTGACATTAGAGTCCGCTAAAAGAACAGATTCGCAGCCAAATACACCAACATTGCGAAGTCCCGTGACGGGGATTACAGCCATGCCGGCACGTTGGTGATAGATTAGTAGCTTGACATTACAGCATTGGTTCTACTTGTGATAGTTATTGAAAGGGTCCCGATTCTTTGCTTATGACATACATTCCTTATGACATAACTAGTTGGTTGTTGGTTATATATAATGCATTGGCTCAACAGCCTTGAGCCACCGCTTTTATATTATGCGTCTAATAATAACTGGTTAGTTAGTAACTACCTTATCAGTAATTGGAGTTGTACCTACTTTTCCCTCAAGGGACACACTTTTTTTTTGGACATTTGTGCAACGCGAGACTGCTGCCACCCATTTCGAATAGGACGCCTACTTGAAACCATTATCGTGGATAGTTACTTTAGAGGATATAATCGTTGTTTATGTCGTCGCATACAATAACGGTCATTACACGTAGCCTTAATACTACCTACTCTATTTAAGGCAAGCCCGGCGACAATGCCTTGGAAACTAGAATTGTAGGCAGAAGTTCTCAAGCATTGAGGCACATAAGCCATGGACACAGTCGTCTCATTTTATTTCCTCTTTTTCTTGCTTTATCATGCACCATTAAACCTTAGCATCCGTCACATCCATAATACACCAGTTAAAAGTCAAAAAGAAAAAGAAAAAAAGAATGATAACACCAACACGACAAGACGATCACAAGAGCCTCCCAAGGTACACAAGATAAAGCCACTGTGGGATGAAGAATATACACCAACATGATCAATTGTACAAAAAAGAAAAACGGGATTTGTGTGCAGAAGAAAAGACACGTAAAAGAGCCCCCACACCACTGCAAGGAGAATCAAAACTGAGATGTAAAAGGGGTTGATGGGTAGGAAATCGACGAAAGGAAGGCGTTTTATTAGATATTGTCGGTCATGTCGTCCCATATACTCGGATGAGTCATTAAACTTTTGAAGGCTGTACAATTAGACATTGAGAGAAAGGGTATAAAGCTGGTATCAAGTGAAACGTGAAAAAATGAGACGTTTCAACTAATGCAGGACGCTTCAAACTTCGAAAAGCCATCATGAGAATGATGTTCGAATATGCGACTGAACGGTGGATGCGAGGGATGTGTGTTTTCTTCGAAACCATTAGGAACCCCTTCTGCCTTTCGAACCACTTCTTTTAGCGCACGAGTCACAACGCCAGCACGAACGACAAGATCGCGGAGAGACTGCGTGTCGAAGGGAAGCTTCTTCGACCGTGGAAACTGAGAGCTACGGGTGGGGTCGTGGGATAAACGCTGTTGATAGATCAGATCCAGGACCGAATTTGCTTTGTTGGACGACACCGTCTGCTCTGGATAGGGAGATGTTGTCGGGCGCGTGCCTGGATTTTCGGAAATTGAAGCCCTCCAAGAATCTCCACTAACACGCTTCCAAGGGTCGTTCGATTGGGACGATTCTCCCTCAGACTCATCGAAGCTGAAGGTGAGTGAAGGAGACCTAGGCGGTGATTGGTTGTTATCATCATCGTCGATTGTTGCTAGATCGACAATCCCCTCTGCTTCTTTCCAAAGTTCGTTTGATGGGCCCCGAACAATGTCCAAAAAGCTGGCTTGGTGCCGTAATCGCCTCAGCTCTTCAACCAACAAAGTTAACTCCTGAACCTGTCCGAACTGCCCATGAAGACTAGCTTGACGCTCCATAATCGCCTGAGGTACTATGACGCTCCGTTGGCTAACATTCTTTCTTGGGTTGTTGCTTTCGTCTAAGGAACTTTCATCTTTGTCCTTGTCCTTGTCCTTGTCCTCGAACTCGAACTCGAAGTCACTGTCCCAGTCTTCACTGACCCCCTTACTGCCTAAACCCCAGGTCCCAAATTTGCCCGACGGCTGCCTTGACTCATTGGATACCATTGGTTCTCTAGCAACAGGGACGCTCTGGCTGCGATAATGAAGGGTACTGGGTTGTTTCCGTCCGGATGCACGACTACCACGTATACCAGGCCCATGTTTCCCATGGACCGTTCGTGGACGCCCATCAGGCCCCGTGCCTTCGCGATCAGGTTTTGATTGTTCAGACCAGTCGAAGATGTTCATCCGTAGAGATGTATCATGAGCTTCTTCAGTGACCCCATTCAATCCACACTCGACGGTTTCTCTTAGGGGAATATGGTTACCTTGAGTGGCCGAGGAGTATTGTCCACAATCTTGGTCACTGGTGTTACCCGGAGCGAGAGCATCAAATTTTGGGAGCGTCAGAGAAGAGTGGATGGTTTTATCTCCAGGTAGCGAAGCTATTACGCTTCGCGAATCATCGTCGTCGCTCAAGTCAGATGGGAAAAATATTTCGCTGTCTCCTTCAGGAGCGTCCACAATATTTTGAGCCGCTGGTATCAAAATGGAGACCCCAGGCGCTTCTCTCGCTTCTTCTCCCACAATAGAATCGAGGTGCCGGTTTTTTGAAGGGGTGAGAGAGTTGGCTGAGACGATGCCGTTTGACACCGTGGATAGCCCGTCATTAGTTCCTGAAGGCAGTGTCCGGTCGAAGATCGTTTCTATCCGAGGAGACTGGAAACAAGTACTGTCGGTCGTTATATGAGTGCGAATGGAGTCAAATGCGGTATCGCTCATGAAGTCAGTTTCGTCCTCATCGCCAGAAGTAAAGACACGAGTGTCATCAGAGCCTAAGATAGTTGATGCCGGGTCAGAAGCGGCAACTGAATGGCGCTTAGGGCGTCGACGGATCGAACCGTATAACGAAGACAAAGCTGATCCGTCCGTTGAGCCACGATGTCCGTTGTCGCGATACCGATGCTGGCCTAGATCATTGGTGCACTCTTTGTGATATGGTGAGGGGACTTTCGATTGTGACCCCATAATCCCCGAAGTGAACAAAGCTGGAAGTCCACTGTTTGACGTCGTCGGTGGCCGCCTGAAGACAGTCGGATCTGTAATGTTACGCCTCCCGGGCGCTCGGGGTGACATCCAGATAGCTCCTTCCATATTTGCTAAATTTGGCAGAGGGGTCGACACCGCTCTCCTTTTGGGCCCAGTGAACGAGCCATTGCGAAAAATCCTAACGCCTAACGGAGCCGGTGTTTCCATATGGGATTTCGGACAGGTTTCTTCAGGTGACGGGTTAGAGGTCTGCTTCTCTGCCTCCGTTGAATGCGTCTCTAGTTGCTGTGGTGGAGCACCATCCGCAATGAAAGGATTGCGAAACTCAACTGGTGGAGTCACGGCGGATGTTTTTGATAAGGCTTCTGAGGCGACTTCCTTCTGGATGATAGCGGTCGCGAGAACAAGAGTCGGGGAGACATTAGGCTGCGGAAGGATTCTCCGCACGGCCTGTTCCTTAGGTTTTGTTGATGTTGAAAACCTGCGGTCGAGTCGCTCGCGCGATGCGTCGGAGCTCGGAGTAATGAAGGGTTGCCAGGGCTCTTTTTCCGAGGGCGGGTTGCCAAAACTGGGCTCGACTAGAGGACTCAGTGCTAAACTGGGTTCGAAGCTCAAGCTGTGAGCCGGCCTGTGTTTGAAAGTTTCGGATCGTTGATAACTTGTTGCTGGTCGGCGGAGCCCATTAGGTATTAGAGGCGAAGATACGGCGTGGACAAATAAAGGATTGCCATTTGAATGATGAGACTTCGGCCGTTTGACGAGTTTGTTGGGCGTTCTGCGTTGGCTGGAAAGACGAGAGGGGGCTGGGCTAGCTGGCTCCGGAAAAGACAGTGAATCCGGGCTCTGGAGAGAGAAACGCTTCTCTGGCTGGAACGATAGTCGCCGTAACCAAGAGGAAGACGGTCGTCGGTCATGAGAAGACGCCGGTGGATTTTCATCAGTCCGTACTGGGGGGATGGTCAAGGTCTGACCACGGCGCCGTAGCCTTACACCTGCGAACGATGTTTTTCTGGGCGATGCAATGCCATTTCCAGCCTGTTCTGTGCAAAGTGTTGCATTTTCTTGTGTTTTCGAGAAGTTCGCAGCTGCCGGAGACTGTAACTGCGTCGTCGCAAACGTTTCTGAAGGTCTTGTGTCGGAGGTATTCGTTGCCAACGAGGGAGTGTGTTGTATATGGGTCGGTTCTACAGATTGGGTTTGTTCGACGCGACCGAGCGCAAAGCCGGTGGCCGCAATGCCGACAGTGCTGACCGCACAGAGCTGAAATTTGAATTAGCTACTATAGAATGCAAGCATAGGAGGGGAAGTAAATCGAGGCTTGTGAGCTCACAGCAGTGCGAAGAGCGCAACAATTGGAGGCGGGGAAAGAGAGCGGAGAACTTTGTTTTTGGGGGGGAATTAGAAAACTAATCAACTCACCGTTGATACATGTTCCATTCTCAGAAAAGGCTGAGAACAGTATCAAGTACCATGAGGCTTAAATTAGGGACACATCGATAGGAGGTGGAGGGTGGAGTTGGCATCCCATCTGCATTGTCATGCACGAGCAAGTTCAGGTGGCTGGACACATCGAGAAAGAGAGGAGTATTTGGTTGATGGGCCTGGCGACGAGCCTTCTCGAACGGAAACAATAAAGCCAGTGGGCAACGTTAAGATGGTTATCACTGAAGTTTTGTCGATATCGAACACTCTGAATGTCGCGAAACTGGGAGTGCGAAACCGGCGTGTTTTTGGGATGAGGGGGGAAAGATTGAGAGCTCAGCTTGGTTGGTTGGAGCTTGCAGAGGCGAAAGGAATGATCCGAAAAGAATGTCGGGTACGAGAAGGAATGGGAGGGGACAGATGACACCAAATGACACCGACAGGGTCGGAAAGAGATCGCTGGCGGCCTTTCTGACCCTTTGTGCCGGCGAGCGAAAGGGAAGAGGAGGAAAGAAACCGAGTTGAAAGTGTCAGCTAGAGATCAGTGGGAAAGGAACTGAGAAGCGGAATAAGCATAGAAGTAATATCAAATCAACAAAGCCGCAGGGTGGGACTTGGTGCCCATGAATGCTGTCCAGTCGTCTGCTTCAGAAGAAAGGAACACTGACTAGAGGAATGGAGCACGCTAGGAGTTCCAGTTCCCACCCCCAGCCAGAGTCTAGAGGACTCGATCTCGGTGATACCGGCCTTGATTGAAGCCTCACAGGAGCAAGATGAGATTGTCCAGGAGGCACGACTCGTGTGCCGAATTATTGGCAAACAAGGCGCCTGGTTTGGTATCAAAGCTGCCTGTGGGGTATCTAGACTCGAGGAGCTGCCCGATAACTACAAGCTACGAGTGCAGATATTGCTGATTGCTATCCTATCGATTAAGCTCTACTCATGACTACTCAAGAGATGCGATCGGTCGACACTCGACCAGGACTCGGGCTCCAGACTTGACTGGTTGCTTGCCGAGGAAGTACCACTCCTACCTCAATCCAGGCAGCAAATTGACCGAGTTGACCTTCCAGACAGGGCAATCCCTGACAGCTCACCCTTTGGTGGGCGGGCCACTTTGTCACGGCTCGATAGTCGATGTAAACAAACAATCCCCTTCAGCAAACAACGAGAGAGACTAAGATCATCCTTGTTAGACGACCTAAATTTAATTAAGCCAGGGCTCAAAATAAAATGTGACTGCTCGTTTCTCCTACGTGACTGCGTCGAGCCGCCCGTGCTTTGGAGGCTGGGCCTTGGGGACTGAGCACGATGCTGTCGCGACGTCTCCATAATCCGACGGATGGGGAAACGAGAGGGATTTCTTGCTGAACTGGAGCGAAAGGTGAAACCAGGGCGCGGCAGGGATTGTTCAGCTCACCTGTTCCTCCTTGACATCCCTTGCCGACTATTGGCCCAGAGCATCACTCTCGTCGGCTCGGCGGAAGAGGGAATCGTCGAGGTTGTTGAGTATTGGCTATAATTGATTGTCTTGTCCATCGCGACTGGCGCCAGTCGTGCAGGTAAACAGCGACTGTTTTCACGACTCCTCCCCGAGTCCGATGGTACACGGCTCTTGCACATGTTATCCAGACGCGATCCGATCGTCACATCATTGACTTCCTGGTCCTCGTCATCGTCGTGATTATTATGGGGCAAGGGCGGGATATTCCAAGGAGTCGAGCAACTCGGCGGAACGATCTCCACTTCGCTCGATCGCGCTCTGACTTGGCTGGCTGAACCTGTCTGCTGTTCCAGCCGAAAAACCAGATCTCGCATATGGACGATCGCATCCAGGAACGGGTTTTTATTTCCGTGGATTCTGCTTTTGTGGTGCGAGCAAGGAACACAGCGGGAGGTTTCCAAGGTTCGGTGTGGTCCTTAGAAACTTTCTCTTCTTCGCTTCTTCTCGAAACTCTGCTCTGGCAGCATATCACTCAAGGAACGCTGGGGCTTCCTCGCCTCGGCAAAACGAAAGACGCACCCGCAAGGCCCGGTTGAGTCCGTGACAACCTTTTTGAACGATAAGGTGTAGCCCTATGTTTCGGAAGATGTCTCGGTTTTGGCGTGCTAATTGCCAACTGCCAAAACAACAGTGAACAGCCTCTGTGCTGCCCGGTAATTCTATCTAGTGAAACACGGAGGGCCTGAACCAATGAAGCACTTTCATGAACTTAATCTTGTTTGGGGATGTGGCATGCGAGCACTTTAAACTGGTTAGGAATCCCAGGTGCTCGCCCGCCTTTGCCCGCCTCATACATACATACACAGTACTTGGATTTTGTAGAGTAGCCCCCACGAGGCCTACTGGCTACTCCAATAAGTATGTACCAACACGTTACTGTCACCATGACGTATCACATTTGGTGTATCCCAATGGCCCCAAAATGTTACTCTCAAAAAGCCCCGAAGAGTCGATGGAATTGGAGTGGTAAAACAATGTAGCTGGAGTATGATGATTTTGCTCCTCGAGCTACCATTTCAGCCAGTCAACGCTCAATCTGTTTGCATCTTCCTGACAAGAGTGCCGTGTTGCCACTTGCCAACACACTACTCTTGCACAGCCTCGGCTCACGAAGTCTCACACCCCGGAAAGACTAATGGTTACTATTGGCTAATTTGGTTTCGACCTGCCAGACGACTGTGAGTGTTTGACTTTCACTTCCCTTCATTCTTTGCAAAGCCCTTGCTCGCGAGTCTCCCGACGAGAGGGAGGTCGCCTGGAATCTCCTGCCTGAAGCTTTTAAGAGTACAATCCCTTGCTTCTTGAGTCTGGGCAGCCGGCAAAAGAAGAGTAACTCGAAAATTCTGAGACCTATGCCTCTCTTGATCGCAAGGACACTTAGTTCCATCCCTGTCACTGTTCTCAGGCCGCTGCATGATGCCTGCTTCCCTAGGTTTTATCGCCTCGACAACCGACCACCGAAGTTGCACCTGTGTATCAATTTGGCAGCACTAAGCTAGGATGGCACAGACTTTATTGGTAAATCTCCCCTCCTCCCCCGTTGATCGATATGAAATCTCGAACCCTCTAGCGATAGGGTATTCCTTGCGGTTGACTGGCACTTACACTAGCCGGGGGGGCATTGTTGTATCTCGGTTTAGCGTCTGGATAATACCTATTTTGAGCAATTGAGTAAGGTTGTCACGGTCACAATGTTTCCCTTCAAACGAATTTCTTGATTTTGACCTGAAGTGCATACGGAGAATCCGATATATACCGAATCGGCGATGAGATTTGGGGTTTGGTGTCACCTCGCTGGGAAGTTAGACATTGTACGAAACCACGTGATACAAAATGATCACGTGACCATATATGAATTGCACAAGTAAACCCTTGGAAGTGAGTGGGAAAAGAATGTCAAATTCTCCAGGAGAAAGCCTTGTAGAGTTATAGTATCTGAGGGTAATTCAAATGACTCATTGTGAGTGATAAGTCTCGGGTGCATAATGATTAGTTGCGCACACTGCTTGCCCACAATATGGGCCAGAGCAGCAGCTACTCCACAATTCCGCCACTTCAAAGTCTTGCGGTTACAACCAAATCAACTCAAGGAGGTGGTCATCAATCAGCTCAACGCATGAAATAGGAACCTTTAAAATTGTTGCCATAATAATATTTGGGGGGGAAACATCTATCATTATCTCCTCCCATTGTGAAATCTCGACTCCGGCGCAAAGTGACTCCGACATGGAGGCGGAATTGCAGGCTCAGATTCCTGGCCTTGACCGGGTGATATCTGAGTATTCGGTTGTGAGTCAGCGCAGGAGTTATCCTAATATATTCTTTTAGTTTCGAACTAATAGACCTCCAGGGATACTTGACCCATGCGTCGAACGCCTATGTTGAAGATGCAAATGCCCCGTCTCCAGTGGCAGAAGCCGCTGATATGGTTACGGAGCTACTCGTCTCTGCCTCTGGAGATTTCTCCACTCAAAATGAAGAGGCTATTCGCAACCTTGTAGAGAAGTTTATCTCGTCTCTCAGCGCTTCTGATAACGTCGACCCTGAGCGCAGACAGATGCCCTTTGCTGCTAAGAAACTTGACCAGGCCATCAATGTCGGCTCCCAGCGGAATATGTCCTCAACGTTAGGTTTGGCTGGGGGGAATGTCGATCTGGAGTCTGTTGGTACACGCAAGATGGAATCTCGCGTTGATCGTAAGAAGCTGGAGAAGGCCGAACGTAAGATCCGCGCCAAGCAGGAGAAGAAGCAGATGAAAACCGTGCAGTACGAAGCATCTCGTCTGCTTCATGAACCAGATGCTGCTATGTCTTACGAAGAGTTTTTTATGGCTGTCAACCCTCTCCAACTGGGCTCGGACTCTCAAGCAAAGAGCAAGGATATCAAACTTGACGGTATCGATATCACAGTTGGTGGCAACCGCATTCTCACAGAAGCTGCCCTCACACTGGCGTATGGTCGTCGCTATGGTCTTGTTGGTCAGAACGGTATCGGTAAGAGTACACTGCTTCGCGCTCTGAGTCGTAGAGAAGTGGCCATTCCAAGTCATATTTCGATTCTTCACGTCGAACAAGAAGTATGCCCTCTCAACCCGGTCATGGAAACTTCAAAAACAGCACTGACTTTCCAAAGATTACCGGTGATGATACACCTGCTATTCAAGCTGTATTGGATGCAGATGTGTGGCGTAAGCGCCTTCTTGCCGACCAGGATGTTAGTTAAGCACATGCGGATCATCAGCATCAAGCCACCCTGCTAACTTTGTCATAGAAAATTACCCAACAACTTACGACCCTTGAAACGGAAAGATCTTCCATGGCGGATACCTCTACCGATGCTGCTAGGCTCGATCATGAGAGGGAGGGTCTCGACATCACGTTGAATGATATCCACTCAAAACTCGCAGAGATGGAGTCGGATAAGGCTGAATCCCGAGCAGCCAGTATTCTGGCCGGTCTTGGTTTCTCTCCTGAGCGCCAACAGTACGCAACAAAGACCTTCTCTGGTGGTTGGCGTATGCGTTTGGCTCTAGCGCGTGCTTTGTTCTGTGAACCCGATTTGCTCCTCCTGGATGGTAAGACCGTATACCCATGTTTTCATATAGCAAGCATCTGACTCGATACAGAACCTTCAAACATGTTGGATGTGCCGTCTATTACTTTCTTGTCAAACTATCTGCAAGGATATCCTAGCACGGTTCTTGTGGTTTCTCACGACAGAGCATTCTTAAACGAAGTCGCAACTGATATTGTCCATCAACATTCTGAGCGGCTAGACTACTACAAGGGTGCTAACTTTGGTGAGTCTCATGCCCCATAGAAGATTCCCAACTACGGAACTAACTGAATAGATTCCTTTTATGCGACGAAAGAGGAGAGAAAGAAGCAAGCCAAGCGCGAATATGAGAAGCAGATGGGTGAACGGGCGCATTTGCAAGGTTTGCGACTCCCATCCCTAGCTCTCCCACAGTACACACTAACCGGATTAGCGTTCATTGACAAATTCCGTTATAATGCTGCCAAGTCTTCTGAGGCACAGTCAAGAATCAAGAAGCTAGAGAGGATGCCTGTTTTGACAGCACCGGAGAGTGACTATGTTGTGCACTTCAAATTCCCTGAAGTTGAGAAGCTTTCCCCTCCGATTGTGCAAATGACGGAAGTCACCTTCGGTTACTCAAAGGACAATCTTTTGCTGAAGAATGTCGATCTCGATGTTCAACTCGACTCTCGTATTGGAATCGTTGGACCTAACGGTGCTGGTAAGACAACAGTGTTGAAGTTGCTCACTGGTGCCCTTGAGCCCACCTCCGGTCTTATGTCGCAGCACGCTAGGTTGCGAATCGGATACTTTGCACAGCATCACGTAGATGCATTGGATATGACAACAAGTGCCGTGAGTTTCATGGCCAAAGCATATCCTGGAAAGACAGACGAAGAGTATCGCCGACACCTTGGAGCGTAAGTTTCCACCCAACTAGGAAGTAGGACTATTTAAATATATTACTGACGAGTGTTGTTTTCTAGGTTCGGTATTACCGGTATGACTGGTCTCCAGCGCATGGAGTTACTCTCTGGAGGTCAAAAATCCCGTGTCGCTTTCGCCTGCCTGTCATTGACGAACCCACACATCCTTGTTCTCGACGAACCTTCTAACCACTTGGATATTGAGGGTATGGATGCACTTTCAGAAGCACTGCAAAACTTCGAAGGAGGTGTTGTGATGGTATCACACGATGTAACAATGCTGCGGAATGTTTGCACCAGCTTATGGGTCTGCGACAAGGGTACAGTACAGAAGTTTGATGGTACTGTCGATGCGTACAAGAAGAAGATCAGCGCTCAAGCGGACGAGGCTGGAGTAGCAGCGGCTCAATAGACATTTGTAATTAAAGCCGCAGACTAGGATATAACATTCAAAATCACGTCTTCACAATGATAATTGATGCAGCCTACACCATATAGTTGTAAGTTAGTTAACAGTCAAGTTGCCGAGTTTGAGCGAAGTCCCGCCGGCCGTCGGCATCTGATCTTTCTGGAAGCGGCTGTGTGGGTCCCGTGAGCACCGAAACTCCGACGGGATCTTTACCCCATAATTTTTATGGTCATCTCAATTCAGCCGCCGATGTATATTTAAAGATTATACACTCGAACAGATGTCGCCAGAAATACTAACAAGCTTCAATTATGAGTAGCAGAGACGAAAGCGAACCGTCTGCCTCCCATGCTCCGCTCCTCGCTCCGGAGTCTTCGGCCGGACAGCATCACAACGCAGACCAGTCGCACCAGCTGACAGTAGGACAATCAAGCGGCCGATTCATTTGGTACCTAACATTTTCCGCTGGAATTAGTGGGCTTCTTTTTGGTTATGAGTACGTACATCTCTAAGATCACACCTTCAAGGTCGCCAGAATCCATAGCCCGCTGTTCAATAGTGCTAACACGTGGGTTGCTACAGTACAGGCGTTATCTCCTCGACTCTTGTATCCATCGGCTCTAACCTATCAAATCGCCCTCTCACAACCTTGGATAAAAGCCTCATCACCTCTTCCACAAGTCTCTTTGCTCTTATTGCAAGCCCGCTGGCGGGAATTTTGGCAGATAGGCTGGGTCGGAGGAAGATTATACTTGTCGCTGACGTTCTGTTTACGGTTGGATCATGTATTCAGGCTATTACGAATGAAGTATGGGGAATGATTGTTGGAAGGAGTATAGTTGGTCTTGCAGTTGGCAGTGCTAGTCTGGTTACTCCTTTGTATGCAACATGCCGAAACGCAGGGAATAAGATGCTGACGTCGACCATAGGTATATATCGGAATTAGCACCATCAAATGCGCGAGGAAGGCTTGTTACTATACTGAGCCTGTTTATTACCGGTGGCCAAGTGGTAGCATACATCACTGGCTGGTTATTCTCTTATGTCGGGGGAGGATGGCGCTGGATGGTGGGCCTCGGAATGCTTCCGGCAGTGCTCCAGCTTATGATACTTGTCGCTTTGCCTGAGACACCTCGATGGCTCGTACAGGCCGGCTTTGAGAACAAGGCTTTGAATATTCTGTCAAAGGTTTATCAACATAGCCCTGACAGCGATCAGATTGCGAAACAAATCCTGCGAGATATTCAACAAGAGGTCACTGAGGAGGAGGAAGAATTTAGCCAAAATAAGCCATCCGAAAGTGGTATACGATGGGTTGATGGAATTAAACAGCGGGCGCATGGCCTGTTCAATATTGGAGGCAATCGAAGGGCGTTGGCAATAGCCGTGATGCTACAGGCATTACAACAGCTTTGTGGATTCAATTCGCTCATGTATTTCTCGGCTACCATCTTCTCACTTCTCTCCTTCTCCTCGCCAACCCTTACCTCCTTGTCTGTAGCCATCACAAACTTTCTCTTTACGTTGCTTGCATTTGTTTACATTGACCGAATTGGGCGTCGCCGGATCCTCCTTTATTCGATACCCGTCATGGTTGCCTCGCTTTTCGTTTGTGCCCTTACATTCTCCTCTGTGACGTTACCGGACATGTCGCCAGAATCGCAAGCACACAAAGCCACTATGGATAGTTCTATCCTCCCGCTCGTCATCCTCCTATGTCTCACAATATACACAGCAGCCTATGCATTTGGCTTGGGCAACGTGCCTTGGCAGCAATCGGAGCTTTTCCCTCTCAATGTGCGCTCTCTCGGATCGGCTCTTGCCACTGCAACGAACTGGGGCTCCAATTTCATAGTCGGGCTTAGTTTCCTACCTATGTTGGAGTTGCTGTCTCCTAGCTTGGTCTTCGCACTTTACGGCCTCGTTGGCATCGCCGGTTGGTTCGGCGTACGTGCTATCTATCCTGAAATGAGCGGTCTCAATTTAGAGGACGTGAAGGCCCTTCTTGCAGATGGTTGGGGAGTGAGAGAGAGCCTAGCGAGGGCCCATAATAGGCCGTCTTGATATCGCTACCGATAGACCTTGGACAGTTTAATTATAGTCATTTTCTCGTTTCTACTATCAAGAAGCCGATACTGGCAGAAAGGCTTGGCAGGGGAGTTTGAAAAGACCACACTATATGACGAAGAGTTATTGTATACCGAAGTACCTCCTTCATATATCATATCAGAGCCAGAAAAAAACTTCCCTTGAGCGGGGAAAATAACGCCGTCCTTGAACCCGCTTAGTATCCAGCCCCGTACTTTAAGTTCGGGAACCTCAGTGACTTCCAATATCAGACTTGATGTTTTGATCATTCGCAAAGAACATCATATGCACCAAAAAATGAATGGTCCTTTATCTCCAGTGTCTTGATCTGCCCGTGGGTCCCACCAATGCCCAATCATGAGAGAGCTTCCCGGGATGACTACACCTGAATACGCATATATTGAAGTGAAATCGTCATGCATATCCATTGGAGGCCATGGTTCACTGAAAAAGGAACTCAGGGCCCCTTGTTCCCCCTGCCAGTGACTAGATTCATACGTGACGAAAGAAATGCGTGACCAACAGCCACGCATCCCACCTCCATATATATTCTCTATAAAGCCGCGTACCGGAGCTGACCGATCGCCTCCAGAACCGTGATATGTCTGGATACCGCGAAGGAATATGCATTTATCGCCATCCAAGTCACGGAACTCGCTGACATACTGTTCAAAAATCTCAGGCCAGTTGCCTGCATCAGGATGTTCTTCGAATTGAAGGGTCTGGACATGATGAGTCTCTGTGGGTGATCCAGAAGTAAGGTACTCACAATGTGTTCAACTTCAACTATGTGGCCGTTCAAGTCAGCGCAGGTTTGCCGAACTTCGAGTTCCGGTACTGCCGGTGGGTGCGGGCAAATGCACGCTGGGCTTTGTTAGCATCTCTCTATATCTCCCACAATAACCTGATAGAAGCTTCTACTGAATAAAACTGACATTCATATCCTAGCCAAGAAAGATAAAGCTTTCGTTTTTCGTCATATAAAGTAAGACCCATCGGACTGGGGGGAGCTGGCCTGTGGTATTTGGGCAAGCTCATATATGAGGTATAGAACGTACCCTCATCCGGATTGAGAAGATGGCGAAGCCAGAAATTCCGAATATCGAGAGCAACATCCGTTGAAAATTCAAAGTTCACGTCGATAAGTTCCTTTTCTGTCTCCGATAAAGCATAAACAGCTCCAATATCATAATCGGTTCGCAGACAGCGAACGTGCATGGACGGATCCAGCGCTAGGTAAGTAAGAGCCTGCACAATAAACACCAATAGTCAGTTATTGCCTTTATCATCCCTGCATAGTATTTCTTCATTTTTTGAAAGAGGTATTACCAATTGGACCGCACAAAACAGATCCGAAGGAGGATCAGGCTTCCTCATCATATAGCCGTTCACAGGTCTACTAAGGAACTCAGTGTTGTAAAGGGCTTCACGAAGACAGTTGAAGTTTTTTGGGACCTCATCCGATTCTGTAATCTTGTCCTGATAAAGGGACTCTTGAATCATGTCTCTTAGAAGTTCTAACCAATACGTTTGCTTCTCCTGTTGACCATACTTGAAGTCAACGGCCCGAGCGAGCACGATAGTGCGAATTTGGTATTCGATTTTATAATCCACAACACTGCGCTTCACAATTTCATCAAAAGTATCTCGAAACAGTCTCCTCCAGATATGCGATTCAGCGGGTAGGATTTTGGCTGCCAGGTCTGACGAGCACAGCGCAAAGTTGATCCGATCTGCGTTGGTTGGGAGCAGGTACGCGATGCTTTGAACCAACTAAGGCGGGATGCATTAGTAGTGTAAAGACATGTTCTTTGGGGCTCACATGCCTCCGTAGGAAGGTGTCGAAACATATTCAGTTGACCACCTGCGCCAATGTGGTCTTGTTTGCTTGAGTCCATCGAGTTTTGCATTGTGAAGACAATTTCAGTCCAAGCTTCAGGCTGCTCGTAATGACGTTGAGGTTGGGACTCAGAAAAAGGGAGAAAAGTAAAAAGCTTAGAGGGGATTCCTTGCTCACTTTCCGCCTCGGTTTTGTCAAAACATGGTGAGTCTAGAAGAACAGGTGGGCTTCGCATCAAACTAATGACACAATCGTCACATATGTAGCTACCTTGACTATATGCACATATAAAAAGTGAGGCCATAATTAGCTGCCTTGGGAAACCTGACACGCTTAGTTCAAGTCGGCCGTACCATGCTTGACACGCTTATGGAAACATTGGAATTATGCGTTGACCTTATAGGGGGGCAAGTTTTATCGTGGAGGAAATAGGAAAATCGAATATAGTAGATAAAAGACAACAACCCCGTTACCAAAGAAAGACTATCATTCCTCGATGTCCTTTACCTTCTCCCATTGTCCCCGTAGGTTCTCCTTCCACAAGCTAACCTTGTTATCTCCGCCACTCACAGCAAGAATGTTTCCACTAGGGCTCCAGCTCACCCGCCACACAACGTTATCGAATTCAAGTACATGGCTTGTCCACTGAGAATGGCTTGACGCATCCGCGGTCCAGACTCGAACAGTCTTGTCCTGTGATGCAGATGCGATGTATGACTTAGAGAGGATGCTAGGCGACCAAGCAACGTCACGAACCCAGTCAGAATGCCCTTCCAGTGTCTGGGTGGGACTGTAGGTCTTTGTGTCCGGGCTAGAGTAAGGAGTAAGATATTAACAACTTCTTCACCTACACTCAAAAAGGCAGCAGAGTAGGCAGTACGTACTTGTAATCCCAAATCTTAAGTAGATTATCACTACCACCTGTTACAAATCGCCGCTGTTGCCCAGGCCCAGGGTTTGAGCTAACGAGACTACCAGGGGCGGCGGCGGGTGCCCAGCTAATAGAGTTGACACCCATGCCGTGGGCATGGAAAATCTGGTGCGTCCAGCTGTTATCGCGGAACTCGAGCACAGATACATGACCGTCAGACGAGGCGCAGGCGAGCAAACATCCGGTTTCATGAGGAGCCCAGGAAATCATGTTCACGGAGGCGGTATGAAGGGAGAAGTCGAAGACTTTCGTCCAAGCACCACTGCCGATAGGGGCAGTGGAGCTCTGGTGCTGCTCGCGCCAGATGAGCACTTTTCCATCGTAGGACGAAGATGCGAGAATTGTGCCGAATTTGGGGTGTGCCTATTATACAGGAGCGAGCGAGTTAGTCTGGATAACGTCCGCTATATGCCTGGGCTGATATTCCAGCCCGACGATTCTCTCCGTATACGTACCCATTCGACACACCATACTGGACCCTCATGGCTGTGCAAGTTTATATTAGCAATTGAGCGTGTTTGGCACATATGGGCCGCAGATGGGTACTAACCCTTTCAATGTCTCAATAAGTTTATGCGCCTCGCCTTCGATCTCGAATATCTTTATTGTCTTGTCGGAGGAGCATGTCGCCAATCGGCGGCCGTAATAATCAAGACCGGCATCGTGCTGGAAGGCGGGGTAAAGGTCAGACCGACGCCATTGTAGGATAAATAGACTCCAAGACGGTACTTACGATCATGTCATCGTGACCAGAATTCGATATCACTTGGGCAGCAGCCTAAACGCCGAAGAGGGAGATAGGTCAGTCGAAGAGTTCGCAGCCGCTTTTTCAAGCAACGAGAGCAATTGGCGGCCGGAACATACCATTATGGCCTATTTGCAGCTCTATACTGGTAGGTAGAGACGTATTATTAGGGTGATATAGGATTATTGTGACGGTGGTGGCAGCGGGACGCCGAACAATGGTCTAAACAACAGCAAAACACCAGCTGGTCCGTTTCGCCGCCATTTGGCTGTGGGTGTGGGTGATCTTATCTTATCGAGCGCTGACTCAGCGATATCGGCACGTGAGAGTCGGGCCTCGGCTCTATGATGTACTAATTGCCCAGTTGCCCCACGATTATTCCCTTCTTCGCCTCTGTATATCAAACCCCGGCCTCCACTTTATCCTGCTTCGATCTCCTTTCTCTTACTTTGGGCATTTTACGACCTACATACATATGTCTCTAACTGGGTTTCTTTAAACATATTTCCTTGGTTGAGCAAAAAAACGTTGTATTGTATTCGGGGAAATACGGCATAGACCCTATCTGTCGGCAATCATGAGTGACGCTCTTTGTGGACCATCGAACGCGCTGCAGAATTTCCAGAAGCATGCCTCTGTTGACCGGACACTGCAGCAGGACAGGCTGATATCGCGCCAATCGCCCTCACGTGTAAGCTACTCACATATGGACAGCCTCCCCTAAATCTAACACCTTCCGTCTCAGGGTTTCCGCTCTCAGAACCCCAGTGAAGGAATACTAGACCCGGAATTTGCTGCTTTTGAGTCAAGCAATTCTGCTGGAGCTCCACTACCCGACGCTCAACATGGAGGTCATTTTATCGCGCCAGCACCACAAATGCCCATGCCTCATCCCGCGGAAGCTCCGAACTGGGCAGCGGATTTCCAGAATCTTCGCATCTCAGCATCGCCGCAACCTATACATCTTCAACCCGGACCATCTGCAGCCCCCATGTCAACAGCTCCACAGCAGGCTTGGAATAGTGAGTTCATGAGGCAGCATCAGCAGCAACCATCTGTGCTGCAACAGAACCAACCGTTTAGCCAAAGATTTCAGCCATCCTTTACACCGAGCTATGCCATGAATAGTTCGACAATGGGTAATTATGTGCCTGCACAAGAAGCTGTAGCCGGCAAAACCTCGGCGGTGGACGCATTTGATGAATCTGCTTTCGAAGCTGCATTCGAGCAAGCCAAAGCAGATATGACATCTCAGTTTGAAGCTTCAGCAGTCGATACAGACGTTGGTGAGGTCAACTTGGATAACAAGAGCTCTCCCGAAGAGATATCATTGCAGCCAACAGACCAGGAGACAATACGAATTGGATCGGACACGATCCCACAAGTCGATAGGGACGATCCTCAAATGGCAGCAAATGACGCAGACGAGCTTGCCCGGACCGCGGGACATCTATTGAATAGCGTCAGCCATGAGACCAATCAGAAGTTCCGAGAAAGCAATTTCTTAGCATTGATGCGGCGCATTCGGGACCGTGAGGTTCAGGTTGAAGGGGATGAATTTCGCGAAGTCAGTACCGGTCCGTGATTGTCGTAGATTTCGGCTGGCGTGACCCGTGCGCTGGTATAATTGAATCTTTCAAACTGGCCTTTGTCTCTGCTAATCAACACCCAGACCGCACAGTCTCTACATCCCGGTGGCGAATATTACCCGGAGGGCAAGCGGCAGCAGGAACTTGAGGAAAAGCGATCTTGGAAGCCTATCGGGCAATCTGATTACGTTCATGTTGCATCCAACGAAAATAGTAAGTTCGATGGCATAACTGTGATGACCACCCAATTCGCCGGATAGTTAAAAGCGGGTGTTCCGAAGCCTGACAATGTGCAATAGGTATCGATTCAGAACGTCTGGCAGCTCGCGGAGCAAGCAATGCGGATACAGATTTACCCAATACCGCACCCACCAGCAGTTCCCAACTTGGAAATGCGGCCTATGATTCACTCTATGCAAGCTGGAATCATGGAGATCGGTGGGCTTAGATGAATTCTGTCTTTATGCTTATACCCAATAGTTTGGTGTTTGTAAGTCAGCGCGAGCGGTGTTTACTTATTGCATAGACAATTGCAATTGCATAGAATATTTACCATTACACAGACAGTTCTGAATTGTGGTGCATGCTATTGATGGTTAACAGTGCACGTGATCCCTATTCATGAGCAAGAACAATCGGAGCTTCTCAATAATAAGCAATTGAAGACCTTGATTTGATTGTTGCCAGCCACTCGCCTATTGAGATGGGCTGGGCTCATTCTAATTCTACTGTTATTTTTCTATTTTCCTTTTTTCCTGTTACCATTGTTTTGCTAAGCACACCACCTTTTGAGCCTGGCAAGGATCATCCATGGATGTTGCACACATATATATAGCCAGCTACCTATCTCCGTTTATCTAGAGTGATAATTTCCATGGTTACCCTGACCTTTTTGCAGATGCCTACCCTCCCAATTTATCCAGCGACATACTACGCCAGATAGCAAAATATACGTGTAATGACCACCAGCCCTAATCCATCCCCCTATATATAATAACCACTACCACACATACATCCTCTACCAAGAGACACGACAATGCATCCTCCACCAAACGACAACCGGAATCACCCTTTCCACCAATATCTCCAAAAGCTCACAGCACGCACTCAATTCCAACCTCCCTTAACATCCAGGGTTCCAAATATTAGTCAACCACCCACAAGATATACTCCTGTCATCGCCCACAAAGAATCCGAACTCGAATACGATGATGACCACGATGAATACGACGACTATTACGACCACGAAGACACGATCGAATACTGTTCAACCCCAGCCACAGCACCGGACTCAGAGCCCAATGTAAGCTACGGAAATGGTTTAAAAACAGTAACAATAAACCTCAACTCCTCTTTTCAAATCACAGGAGACGGGAATTCCGTTGCCATTGCTTCACGTGAGGCGCAACCCCAGACATGGACGCCGGAGATAGAAAGGAACACAACCACAAATGCTACTAGGGACCCCAAGCCCAAGATCACGAACACTATAGCAGCTATCATCGCTTCTCTTCAGCAATCCGGCGCCATGACGCCCACAAATGCGGAATCAAAAGCAGGCCATGTTCCCTATAGTCCAGATGCTGCTGTGCCTGCCGCGGTAGAAATTAATATTGACGCTGGAGTGAAGATTAAGGGATGTCAGAATGTGGTCTGTTTTGGGACATTTGCCCCTCGTGTTGGTGGATTGAAGGTGAACAGCCATGGCCAAGACGCAAGGAAAAGACGAGCTCAGTCGGTATGATCAATCCCTCCATCTATATACTTGGTTTAGAGGCTCGCTAACCCCATTATCCCTTCAGGAACCAGTCAGTGGTCTGGAGACGAAGAGATATAGGAGATAAATGTTGAGGTGCCCAGTGTCATTAGCAAATTAGCCAGATACCTATTGTTTTTTTTTTTTTTTTCTTCGATCGAAACGGGACAGCGTTTACGAACTACGAGTTTATGAATGTAACCGAAGGCATCAGAACCCGATCTTTTCTAATGAAGATATTCCTCACTTAGCAGCAGCAAACGCCCTGTCTAACCCTGTAAACTAAATTTCAGATTCTGCTTTTCACCCCCTCTAGCGGTAGAAAAAAAAGAAAAGAAAAGAAATGGAGGGAAAAGACACACGCAAGGAGCAAGCAAAAAAAAAAAAAAAATCCCGCCACCCCATCTGACATGGAAGAGTATACATATTCTCGATATAAAGAGACAGGTGTTAAAAGGGCAAGAGGGTAGTAACCGAAGTGAAAGAAACAAAAGTAAGCTCGAATAGCAGAGCGTCGATTAAAGTAAGTACGCCAGTGCTGACTTCGAAGGGTTCATTAGATATCATGGCCAAGCTTAATAGTACAAGGACTAAGTTGGAAAATGAAGGCGACAGGGGTCGGGCTCTGGGTTGGAGGCAGGATATATCATATCCGATCCCCTTTTACTGATCCTTTTGGCTGTAATTCGTAGAACATGCTCAGAGCTTGATGTCTCCAAGTGGCCGAGGAGGATACTTATTATACCCGTCCTGTTATCGGCAAGTCGTGACGGTGTAGATTCCTCGACCACTCGGGGACAACCTTGTCTCGCTCGTATAGGAGACCACAGTTATGACAAAGCGTCTAGACTCAAGTTAGCAAGCGTAGAGACTAAATATGGTGAGTTTGCATTTACCCTTGGCCCGGCCGGCCCGTCTCGTACAGCCCATACTGCTGAACCCCATACCATGCAGTTGTTGCATCGCCAATGTTGTCGTTCCCTACAATTGTTAGTTGCTAGAAGGCAAGTAAGGCAGTGTAGACGAACCAGTCAGATAGTGTACCACCGCCTCCACCATAACCAGCGCCCGATCCAGTGTCCGGCGTACCTCTTCCACCGGGAGTGCCTCCTCTCCCCAACGGACTGAGACTGCGGAAACGTCTCTTCCGCTTATTCCTCTCGCCACGCCCCAGGGGTGTCTCACTATCAATATCAAAGAAACCGCTTCCCTGCCGTGAGACTTCTGGTGTAATGCCCGCCGTTGAAGAGAACCGTGCGGTTTCGCGACGTAACCGTCGAATCTGCCGCTCGCGATCTCCTTCGCGCTTTTCGATTTCTTCCTTTGATAGCGTTTCAACCTTCGGTTCCCACTCGTCTCCAAGACCTTCAGGATCATATCGCCAACCTGCCTCAGCACCGTTCGCGGCTTGATTATCGATCTCATTCCTGTAGCTTCCTAGACCACTAATGAGTCCACCGCTTTCGCAGACTTCCTTTTTCAGTTTTAGAACTGCTTCGTAGATTCCATGTGCGATGGCTCCGACCCACTCCCCGCCTAGACCAAGGTCCGCGCATGTAATCCTTGCGAACTCTTCGGCCATTCCAGGAGGATGTAGAAGTGACCATTCGAACTTGTCGGTATACAGCTTGTTCTGTAGATTTATATTTAGATTGATCATGCATCTATAAGCATCATCTGGGTTCAGAATGCTGTCGTTCACAAGGGGTTCCTTCGTTGCGGTCACTAGATTGGCTTTGCTGTCCGGGGTAGCAACTTGTGTAGGAATAGGAGTGGAGGACGCATCACGCGACAGACCTGCTTGTGAGGCAGCAGGCTTTGGCTGTGTGCTCTGAAACAATGGGTGTAGTGCAACGCCGGCATATTCCTCTAATTGCTGGCGGATTTGGGTAGCGATCGCCAAGGTCATCGCCTGTTGGTTGGGAAGGTCCAGGTCGTGAACGAACCCGAATGCGAACTCTTCAGGAGTCGCAAACGCCTCGTGAAGATTCCACATAAACGTGTCCTTGATTCGAAAAGCGGGTAATGGGTCTGGTTTCCTGTACGCAGGCAATGTTGGATTGATCGCTGGGTCAAGGACATTCCGGGGTAGCTGGAAGGGCTCATGAGGCTGATGCGCCGGGACCTCGAGGTCAATTCGAATGGGTATAAGGGTCAGAGGAAGTTGCGCTTGGATCTGCAATTGGTCGGCACACCTAATCGAAGGACGGCGCAAATCAGCAAAGATCGAGAAAGTCAAGTTCAGTTCAAAAACTTACGCGGGCCGCAACATCTTCTTGATCATCCAGTCCCGAAATATACCCTGAACCTCTACAGGGGCGTGCGCCTCTTTCCCCAATTTTTCTGCCAGCGCCGCCTTGTCAAATGAGGGTTCTTCTCGTCGAAGACTCCTTAGACCCGTAGGGCGCCGGGGTCCTTCACTATCATCAAAGTCTTCATCGTCGTAGCCATCTTCCGCATAATTGATGGCTGTGGTTCCCCGTTTCGTGGTACGCGGTGTCGGTCCAACTTGGGTCTGGGGAATGACGGGCGTGAAGAGCGCGTTCGCATATTGACGCACTCGTGGGGGGTAGGATGTGATATAACCTCGAAGAGGGGACATGTTGGCCATCTAGATGGACAGTAACATGTCCCTGTCGCTCAGTGTCCCGGCCTTGGGGAAGTTTGGAGCCGCGATCTGCGAGTAGATAAATAGCGTCTGCGAATTTGATCGATCAAGGATGGTTGAACCGGGCAAGGGAAAAGCGGGAATATTGGAAGGACAATGCTGGTGGTCGCGCGAATATAATGCGTCGAACGACAAGAGGTTCGAGTGAGCTATTTTCCAAAGTACTAATTGTCCCTGCTGCTTGGGCCAGGAATATTTCCAGCGCGAGTTGAGCTTCTCAGTCGAAGAGAGTGATCGCGCTCAAGCTCCGCGTTTTGCCAAAGGACGCACTAGCCCCATTCCAGAGTTAGCATCACGTGATGACTATACGCCCAACCCAACAGCAATTACGAACATGGGTATTGACAAGCGAGAATGAACTAGTAGTAGTCGGAAATACTTAATAGAAATATATTCAGCATAGCTGAAATTAAATTATCTAGCAATGCCGCTACAAAGGTCTGCGTGAACCTGATATTTAGTGATTCATAGACGGCAAACTATAGGAGGACAGAATTGGACGAAGATGGAGGCAAGAGAACAGAACAAACAGAACATAAATCAATGCATGAAAGCCGGCCTGAGAGTGACCAATATAAACAGGGTTGCACGAGCACCCAACAATTCACAGACGCCAATGTTTTAGGTCTGTAGGTGTTGACTCGAAAATCTAGGGGATATCGTAAACTCCGCAAAAGCGGTCTCAAGTGACAAGGTACAAAGTGCTGATCATGATGTGTATTTGATATGCATCGGAACACGAATGGAACAGAATGCAGGATAGAATGCGGTGGTGGCTGGTATAACAGGACAGGAAAATGGAAACCAAGGGCAAAGTGTGAGTCTTCAAGACTATCGGAGCCCAATTACGCTCTAGAGGTGCATTAGAAGGCAATGGCAAGGCACTAAGCGGTGGAAACTTACCATCTCGAGGGTCCAGACTCTGCGGATCCAAATTTTGATTTTGCCTTCAACTCCGTCGACGTTGTCCAACTCAACGCCCTCCCACCAACATCGTCGTGCTGGTTTCCGCCAAAACAAAAGAAGCTTTTGTGCCATTCCGACATTATTGCTGGCTAGATCACCTCTGATATCGGTTCGGAGCTTAGCCAACGCAAGACTGCAAATTACTGCTTTGCTTGGTTCCGGGGCACGATGACCCCAGTGGTCTTCACGGTCAAATCCACTGCCACCTTGTTAGCTTTACAGCACGTAGCTATCAGTTTTTAATTGCGTACCCTGCGGTGAGCATCTCAATGAGATGTTGTTCCGTAGAACCCGGCTCGTCGCTTTTTCTCAGGCCCGAAAATATCCCATCTTGTTGTAGAAGCGCTTTTGCAGCGCATCGTTTAACATCCATCATCTCGGCGTGGTCAATGTCTGGCCGTGGAGGGATTGCATAAAAATCTAAATCTTCGCGTAAGACGATTATGCCTGCACGATCTTGCAGCATGTCTCGCGTGGAGCCTTGCATGGAATCGGGGGCCACATCAAGATCTGGAGAAGCAGACGGTGAAGACGGAATAGACTGCGCAACAGAACGGAAGAAGTCCAACATGTACTGGAGAGATGCTGGGTCATACTTCAATGCGCTCATTAGAATTGCTGGTATAGTCCAGGAAATACGAAGCTAACTTACATCAACAGGATAGACGTCGCTTTCATGAAAACCATTCATATGTCCATCCGGAAGTAGACCATTTGGGAAAAGTGATAAGAGGACAAACTCTGGTAGAGTAAGTAATTCATCGCGCGAGAGCGTAAACCGGGTTCCCCTGTCGATAGATTAAAAACTGAAATTTGAATGCGCAGCTTAAATTCTCCCTTACCGGAGATCGAGGGTAATATGTTCGTCGCCGCCAACATCTAAGATAGTAAAGCCATCAGCAAAGAGGTCGTTTGACTTTAGACAAGCATAGGCTGTGAATGCGCGTACCACCGAGTGTATTTATTGGAGGACCACCTGTCTGTTGCACCTGAGTAATAATACTCGACGCGCCTCCTGCTGCTGCCATCACGTATGTGAAGGAGTCGATAGGGCTAGATCCCTCGGTGTAGGGGGGAGGAGGTTCGCCTTCGTCGGAGCTTTGCTCTCCTTTCGGCTCCCGCGAAAAAGATGGTTTTGTTTCTGCGACTAACGCCGATGACGGCTCTGGTTCTAAAGGACAGTCTTCGGAAGGTAAAGGAGCAAAGGCCGGGGGAGAAGCGCAACCGGGATCGAAAGCTGTAGCTTCTGGACGGTTGGAGTCGCTTGAAGAGAAGACGAGCGATGAGAACGGGGGAGGATACGAAGAAGCGAAGCTAGAGGAGGAGGCTTCTGAGTAGGGGGAATGTGGCGGCGGTGCGGTATAGAAGTCGTCGTCTTCCTCCACAGGGTCCGTGAGGTTGAGGTGGTTGAGCGGCCGCGCCGTGGGAGGCGAGCCACGAAAATCCGATGACCACGACAAGGCGTCGAAATTTGTTCTGAGTCTCTTTGATGTCGTACTGTAAATGAATTGGCTGGGTGAGGGGAGTTGACGGTAACTAAAAGGTCGTCCCGTTGATCGGAGGTGATCCAGACTCTCGCTGCCCTTGTCGATCAGGAGTCCACCGGTTCTCTATGATTGCCAGCACATGAAGACCTGAGGTGCAAATTATTGATGGGAATCGATATGTTGAAAATTCACACGAGGGTTGAAAAAAAGGCGATGCGATATGGTCTAAGGCAAACGAGAGCAGTTGTGAGACAAGGGCGTAATGAGAGAAGAGGAGAGAGGATGGTCGTTCGCAAGCGCTTAGACCATTGGCAGCAGCGCTCCTGAGAACCGGAGTAAGCTAGTTCGGTGTGAGGGGGTGAGTGCCACACAACTACTTTGGTACAAATTGGCGATTTGAACACATTTTACTGAACCCCCCCAAACATATGATACTTAAAATATTACAGTTTAGATTTGAGTTTAAAAAACTTCCCCATATTCAAACCACGTTTGATATGTTGGATGGACTTGGTTGTATTATACACGTGACCTGTACCAGATGAGGACTAGCATTATCACCTACTTAATGGTGAAGCATCCAAGACCGAAAAGTAGATTCGGATGGAAAGTTATCATGAACTGTAATTCATTCCCTATTCTATAGAAGGTCAAGCCATTGAGGCATATTCGGCTATGTATACGTATTGCTGGGAGCACTTGAGAGCCTTTAGACATTCCGCTCGACGAAGCTCTGGATGATACCCTCGAGCGTTGGCTCATACTCCTTCAAGATGACCTCGTCGCCATCTAAAATAGTGTTTCCTTGCACAAATACCTTGCGGGGAATTTTGTTTTTCAAAACAATATCTCGGACTTTGGTGCCCCACCAGTCATTAACGGATGTGATATCATCATAGAGTGCTTTGCCTGCCTCGACATCTGCCGTACTCTTGTAGACGTGCAATTTCTGCAGGTATCTTTCCACAGCTGGACGTCCATGGGAAAGAATTTTGGAGCGGTCCAATTTGATCTCAAGATCGGACAGGTCTTCCTTGGTATAGGAAAGTTTGACGAAATCATCGCCAGCGTCGAGGAAGGTACGCAGGATACTATACCGGGCCTGCATGTGCGCTTGCCCCCACTTCTTCGTCTTGGGGTCCCAGAATTCCAGAGCGACCAGACCGGCACGAGCCATTAGCAAGTACGCAGCAAATAGAACATCCCCGGCCTCGTTTGAGAGATCTTCCTTTCCATCGCCAAAGCCGAAGATCTTAAGGATGCTGAAGTCGCAAGCAAGAGCCATGGCAACGCACTCCGCACGGCACTCTTCATAAGACGAAGCAATGGCCCCGAATACAGAGCTCCATGTTTGACCCGGTTTGTACCACGTCGATACGGGTTTTGCGGTCACCGGATTAATCGGAGGGTTGGAAACATCGAAGTTATACTCCCCGGGAGCGGTCTCCTGCAGTAACTTGCCAGTTCCGTGCCCGAGAAGCTCGTGGATGCCAACCTGCACCTCAAATGCAGGATCACGGCATCGACGATAAACTTCTTGGTCTTCGTCTCGGATAAATGGTATGGGCTCATCGGGAGCTTTAGCAGAAAGGACATTCCCAAGGGAGACGTTTTTGAAACCTAGGTTTTGGCGAATATCATCATAATTGGGAAGATTAATACCAGCTGGGATGCCAGACGACTGAAAACTCAACACTTCCAACGAGGTGAAATCAGGGCTGAGAAACTTGTCCTTTTCAAAGTCTTCACCCCAGGGTAGTTTAGGAATCATGCTTTGCGCACTATCTACAAGCTTCCCAAAAGCCGCAGTCCGTTCTAGATTGACCTGAAATATGGATTAGTTCAATGGTAGTTTGGCTAATACACGATCTGGAACTCACCAACGCAACAAAGCCTTCCCACTCTCCTCTTACCCCGTGAGGGTCTCTGTACGTTTCGACGAACCCAAGGTTTGTTTCCAAAACTGGCTTCTGATCCTTCACCCATAGTCGTTGGCTCTGTTTAATTGCTTCAATAGAGCCGGCACCAAACGAAAGTGCATAAGCATCCAGCATGCCCTTTTGGGTATTATTTGCAGCGTGAAGCCCGGCCTGCTTGACACTATGCGCGATCTTCGCCATTTCTTCTTTGTGGTCGCCAAACAGAAGATGCACTTGCTTTCCCTTCAGTTCCCCGTCCAGGTCAAACGAACTTGCATCCCCCAAATCCCTGTCTCGGGTCGGAGGAGAGGAAACACCAGAAGCGAGCAGCAACTCAAAATCTCCCGTGGAGGTCTTTCGAAGCCTAGTGTTTTCTAAGGGCATGCCCTTCTGCTCGAAGAAATCTCCAATAGCTGTAATCTCATCCTTAGTGATAGATGGTGAATCAGGGTAGTACGAAGTCATATGTCCCGCTTCGGGATAGCCAAGGTGCATTAGGGATTGCTCCTTTGTCTCGTAAATGCCCCCTCCTGTTGTGTTGGCTTTTTGGAACGCAGCCTTCGTCTCGGGCGTGCTCGACGCCAGAATTTCTAAAGCTTCGACGGGCAATCGAGGAATAAACTTCGAGTCGCCAAAGCCCTTGTAATTACCACAGTTTCCAAGGAACTGAGCAGAATATTCTAGGAAGTAGCGGAGGTTCTCGTCGCTGACATTGGTCTTCCGAGCCAGCTCGGGCCAATTTCCATCGCAGGCTCGATATAGCGCGAGAATCAAGTCGTAGATCGGTTCGGATTCCGGAGAGACTTGACGGAGAGTCACACGAGTTCCCTCAAACGCGGCTCTGCAGTTCGACAATCACCTAGTGTTAGAATTGTATGACTGAGCGAAGTGTTGGTCAACCAACCGGCTAATGTAATGGGCGTATTTCCGTAGGTTCTTGTCTTTGAGGTTATCGAAGTGGTGTTTAACTTCCAGCCGAACCACGCTCGGGGGCGAATCGGCGAAGTAATGTTGTTTAACACTGGCATCCATCGTGTTTATCGTAGGGGGAGGGCGTTGAGGAGTTGTAAGAGTGGAAGAGAATCGGCGGGGCAGGGGCCGGAGGAGTACTGAGGGGCGGTGGAGGACGGAGGGCAAGCGCCTGCATACCCCTCTTTGTAAAGAAAACATCAATCCCTCGTCTCGTGTAACTGGAAGCAGCGGCCAACAATCAGCTCCGACTACGTCAGATTCTCGACCTGGACTTCCGCGCTAGGAATTGCTTGGCGCGAGTGGGTACTCCATGTTCATAATGGTTAGACTACATTATTAAATAAGTACGTAGGAACAAGGTGTTATATCCAAGTACTATATTAGTACTATATGTGCCATAGTAGCTCGTATGGCCAAAATTTATCATATCCTGGTACTACTGCTGCCGTTCCGGACCATTAAGTCGTGACTTTACATCACAGCAGAGTATGGACGGGCAATAATGTAATCAATTACATATATGTACTGGACTGCGTAGTGTACGGTCGATATAGTAAAAAATCTGCGGAGACATGGCGAATGAGGTGAGGTGATAAGGCTCAATTAGTGCAGCACTACAAGTTCGCTATTATATCAGGCTTTGATATTTGTCAAGCCCTTGTTTCGGGTTTCCGGGCTGTTGCGGTTGCACAGCGCTGCTATTGAAGAATGGGGAGCTTTGTCCAGTGCCGCCGCCAAATGAAGTCTGGCTGGTGTTTGCAAATGCACCGGTAGCCTGCGTAGAGGGTGGAGGTGGTATCGAGAATGCGGAATAGTTTGGCGTTGTCTGCAGTTTCGTGCTGGCTGAAGAGGCGTTGGAGGCGTTCATACTGGCTAGTGATGCGAGAGACTGGCTAGATCCTGAATACTGAGGTTGATGATTGGATGGGTTCGGCATGTTCCAGGGGCTTGGGGCAGATGGCTGGAGAGCCGGAAACGCTGATGCCGAGGAAGGATTTTGTTTTGCAGTCGGCTCCAATGATGGGAATGAATTCAACTTCAAATCGGGTGTGATTGAACGCGTGGTTAGACTGGATTGCCTGCCAGCAAACCCTGCAGTAGTTGAAGACCAAGAAAATGCAGTAGAGCTGGGTTGTTGAGTAGTAGATGCTTGCGAAGATGGGGTATCTGAGGCTAGGCCACCCAAGATATCACTTCCATGATCATTCGATGCTGTTGCGCCCCGTCCAAGAACCAGACGCTCGAAATTATCCCTCGTGGATTCGGCCTCTGACTGTGTAAAACCACCTGCCGCCTTGGAGGAGGCTGCTGTTCCGTTGCGGAAACCGGACGAATCTCCTGAAGAGAGCTCTTGAAGTTTCTTCATTTGTTCCCGCTCAACCTTCGAAGAAATGCTCTTGATTAAGGCCATGAATTCGCCAAATTGGTTCAAGTCAAGAAGTGGACCAAGGCTAAAGCTCCATAGAATCGGAAGAGCCTCCAAGGCAAGGAAATCAGCGTCTGCAACGGTGCAGATCTGCTGAAATACACTCAAAGCCGCCATCATCACTGCTGGTTCCTTCGTTTTGATCGCTTTCAGAGAGGGGACAAGTTTTTCTTGTATGGTGTATTTGTCCAGAATAGACGACCTTGAAGCTTGTGGTTTGCTCTTTTCGACTATACCGGTCAAGTCATCCCCATTCTCACTCCCCTGACCCATAGAGCCACCGCAAAGTACAGCAAACGCTTCTAAACAACGTACCTTGATTGCAAGGCTGTTCGTGCGGCTGAAAGTGGACGCAATTGGAGGGAAAACTTCGTTTTTCACCGTACTGAAATCAAGAACGGGGAGAATGACAGGTAGACATTTTATTGCGGCATCTACCAGGGTATGTGTGGGAGAGTCGAGCCCGAGGCGAATAAGAGGTAGAACATCTAGAAATATCAATCGCTGTCATACAACCATACTGAAACAGGAGTCTTACCATCCTTGAATTCCATTCCAGAGCAGTTTTCAGCGATGACACTGGCATTATCCAGAACCACCATAAGGCCTGCATCCTTCTTCGAATCTCGTTCTTGGGAAGCACCTTTCCCTACTGGAAAGACCTCCTTGAGATGAGGAATCACCTTCTCAGGAAGTGTACGACGTGCATTGGGGATTCGCAGGAGGATTGCGAAGACGTTTTGTAAAATAAGAGAGAGGAGCTCGCGGTCTTTCAGTTCGTCTAGCAAGGCGCCCAGAAGCTTTCTCTCTAAGACGGAAACAGGAAACTCTGGAAGTACCCGTTGCAAGCCACGCATGAACTGGGCCTTTTCATTTGGATTCTTGGCTGGCAGTGATTCCAAGAACCGGATGGTTGATACTAGGATATTATCGAAATATTGAGATTGCTGAAACTCTCGAGCAGTGAGACGCTGAGCAGCCCTTCTAGTTATTAGCCTCGGTAGTACATGCGCGACAATGTCCTTCGGTATCGAGCCTGAACAGAGAAAGTTGTTGCTTTGCGAAGGAGTGGAGGACGGAGAAGTGAGTAGTCGCTTGAACGAGTCCAAACTACCATGAGACTTCAGGGGAGAAGTATGAGGTGAGTTATAAAGTGCTATTATTATAAGTCCAAGAGAGAATAGATCGGCCGAGGGGTTAACGTTCGAATCCAGAGCAAAATCAGGTGAGGTGTAGTCTAAGTTCAGCTGAACAGACGGTGGAAGGCGTGGATCCTGATAAAGAACTTCCGAGAGAGCTAGAGGGGGGAGAGATGATTTGGATTCGGACGAGTCTGAGGGACCAGCGAAGCCGAGTCCCGAGATTTTCCAGTCAGATTTGGCGTTGATGAAGATAGCCTCCGGGTTCAGATTGCCATGCACTAAACCAGCAGACTCATGCAGAAACTCAAGACCCTTAGCAACCTGCAGAAGCCCCTTCTGAATTTCTAGTTCATCGATGTCGAGATCCTTCCGCCTCCGGGACCCGTCCGGCTCTTCCACCATGTACCGCGAAGTCCTTGAGCCTAACCTTCCACTGCTTTCTTGTGTATCCTTTTCCTGTAGTAGTCCGGCAAGCGAGGCGGTGATTCTTTCGGTCGCGAACATGAGACCACCATTGCGTGTTTCTTCGACAGGCTCGAGCACCTGTAGAATCGATGGGTGTCGTAGGCGAGTGAGGTTGCCGGCTTCGCGTTTCAACCGTTCGACAATCTCTTCCTGCAGTTTTTTTATTGAAGAGTTGGAACGACCACCCAGCCCACCAGATCGAGGCTCGAGGGCCTTCTTATCAAAGATAAAGATAGATGCTGGGGTATTTGTGGATTTCTTCTTTCCATCATGAATCTTCCAGGGTCCGGAAACGACTGTAGGATGCGGGGAAACTTGATAGTTCGTAGTGATGTTGGAGCTGAATGACTTGAGCGCGGATGAGAACATCTTGGTTGCAGCGGTGCGGTCCTTCAGTTTCCAACGATTTCAGACGGACTATCGCATAGCATTCGATCCAGCACGCGGCAATCAGCTTTGCATGTGTCGGGGTGGCCGCAGCCTAACACGGTCGCGAGATAGCGGGGATCAACAAAACAATTGGGAGCATCACCACATAGAAGGGCGGGTGAGGAGTGTGACGCAGAATCAGGTCTTATGAGGCCATCTGCTTTCACCACACAATCACACTTTGCGACGAGCTCCAGCGCGTTGTCGTTCAACCATTCGGCACTACGTACTTCAGCCCAAGCTAATCCCCGTCTCGGTGCGTTCCAGAAGATCACGTGAGAAGAAGCAAGCTCCTGAGGCCACCGCCTGCCTCGATCTGCCGGTTATCCGCTGATGGCCGATTTCGGAGATCAGACCGAGTGTCAATTGTGGATGTGCGGAGAGCGCTTCTGGCATTGGCAGTTCTTGATCACTCCCCACGACTCTGACTCAAAGGACGCACATCAATCACCGGATTTGAGGGCACTTTCATTGGTCTAAGGTCCGTATACCCCAAGATATCAAACACCGTGTTATCCTTGCGAGCTTGCGATAGCTCTGATGAGTCGCCCGGAGTTGTCACAGCGCTCCGTGTGGGGAGTCCATGCACTTTGCTTTTAACCGCGACTACCCGCCGGGTTTTCTTCCCCTTGACTGTCATCCAAAACATTCTTCCTTTGGCCCTGGGCTTTGACTGACAAAGATACCCGAAATTCATAGAAGCCATGAAATCGCTCCATCAATTAGCTCGCCAGCGAGCGCTACCTAGCCTCGTTGCTCCACGTTTCCAGAACCCTCGCGCAAACCAGCTATGGCAACGAAGCTTCAGTGCTACTCCAGCTGCTTTGGAAGGCGCTCGCCTGGACCCGTCGAAGCTTACCATCACAAAAACGAGCACGCCAAAGGAGTTGCTACCGTCAAAGGACCTTGTCTTCGGCAAGACATTTACTGGTATGGTTGTTCTCGGAGCCTATTAGGCAGAGGATGTACAGTTCTAATACCATTGTTCTTCTAGACCACATGTTTACTGTCGAATGGACTGCAAAAGATGGCTGGCTTACCCCCCAGATCGTCCCCTATCAAAAACTCCAGCTGGATCCCTCGGCTTGTGTACTCCACTATGCGTTCGAATGTTTTGAGGGTATGAAGGCGTACAAAGATAGCAAAGGTCAGATTCGATTGTTCCGACCTGACAAGAACATGCAGCGCCTGAACAAGTCATCTGCACGGATCGCTTTGCCCTCTTTTGACGGCGAAGCCCTCACTAAAATGATTGGAGAGCTCGTCAAACTCGACAGCAGATTCATTCCTGAGTATTTAAATTTGCTCTGTTTGGCGAATTCGACTGCTAACATTGTTATAGTGCGCGAGGCTACTCATTATACCTGCGACCCACGATGATTGGCACCCAGAGCACTCTTGGTGTTGGACCACCAGGCTCTGCCCTTCTATTCGTTATTGCGAGTCCCGTGGGCCCTTACTACCCAACCGGATTCAAGGCTATCTCATTGGAGGCCACAGATTATGCCGTGCGCGCCTGGCCTGGAGGTGTGGGAGATAAGAAGTTGGGTGCAAACTATGCTCCCTGTATTGTTCCTCAGCTGGAGGCCGCTTCGCGTGGGTTCCAGCAGAACCTGTGGCTCTTCGGAGAGGAAGAGTATGTAACAGAGGTTGGCACAATGAACCTTTTCATTGCGTTGCAGAACAAGGAGACTGGCAAGAAAGAATTGGTAACTGCACCCCTTGATGGGACAATCCTCGAGGGTGTTACCCGAGATTCCGTGCTAGGCCTCGCCAGAGAGAGACTCATCCCGCAAGGGTGGGATATTTCCGAGCGCAAGATCAGGATGGCTGAGCTCGCCGAGGCTGATAAAGAAGGAAGGCTGCTAGAAGTTTTTGGAGCAGGCACGGCAGCAATTGTCAGCCCTGTGCGGAATATCAGCTACCGTGGCAAGCTGGTGAACTGCGGATTGAAAGAGGATGAGGAGGCCGGGGAGATTGCTCTTCAGATGAAGAACTGGATCGAGGAGATCCAGTACGGTGATAAAGAGCACCAGTGGAGGTATGTCACTAACACTGTACCCTATATAACAGTCTGCTAACATTTTCTAGCCATGTCTTATAAACGGAGGTGAAGGTTGATATATCGACTCGCATAATATTTGAATCTATTGGATCAATTTTGTAGACATTTTTGGCATCAAGCACGAGTTTTAGACACTTGACCTCCACAATTCAATTCCATAACCCATCGAAGCACTACGAGCAGCACCCGCTTTGTTCGGTTTGAGTAGTTTGTTGGACCAGATATCTGGTTTCTAATACTGGCCCCCAAACTATCACTGATGTCTCTTGGAAGGCATAATTCCCCGAATGCTCAGCCCCCAAGTCTAGGCACCTAGGCTCTCTAGTCCCCATTCTCAAACAACCACATAAGAATCCAGTAGGACAGCCGCGTGGATCCCTACTTTCGACTCAGAGTGCCTCCCCTTCACATCCATCTCAGACCCAATAATAAAGCTACAAACCCATCTCCCTCGTTGGAGTTAATAATAGCAAAACCAGTAACCCCCCCAGAACGCTGGCATGCTGGACGCCTAAAGACCCACGCTGCTGAACTTGTATGCTCCGGTCTCAAGTAGCAGCCCTAAACAAGGTAACCTCACGGTAAGTGTGCGCAGTAGTACAAGCCACGCATGGGGTGAAGGGGTGATTAGTCTCAGCCTTCCACCATGTTTGCTACCATACTAAACAAAGTATACATGTAGAAATGAATGCAGTGCCGCTTGCACATAATGTAATTATACGCTTGGTCAAGGGATGCAAGTGGAGTGAAGCAAATGAGGCATGGAAATGCCTTCTCCTGGTGGACACAGTGTCGTGTCACCGCCATGTTTTTATCGCCCCTCCTGTTGGCTGTGCATTGTTGTAGCGTCGCGTTGCGTTGAACTTAACCTCAAGAGGAATCGTCCCCGGAGATACAGGAGGAGGCTGAGTGGGTTCGAAGCCAGGGCGCCGAATATCGCCCCTCCAGATTACCAATCTCGCGCATACATGTTGTTACCAGTAGTAGTAAGTGCCCTGTCTTCGCCGGACGTCCGTTGAGCTCCACAAGGACAGAATGTGCACCCCTTAATTGCTCTCCACCTGTCACCCCTAGCAGTCAATGATGAGAGCCTTAGCAGGCGCATATTAACGCCAAGTCGAGTATAACCACCCGCCCAGTTCAGCCCAGACCATCAAGGCTAAAAGCGCCTAGGTGCTTGGACATTTGTAAGGCTGAGAGAAGCCAAATTTCAAAGTCGAAGCACGAGCGGAGGGATCCCGCGTCAATTTCCCAGATGCCTCCAATGCAATACTGAAATCAAATTCCCACAGTCTGGTGATTGGAGATAAGGCTCGTGGGGCTGAGGAGCGTGGACTTTCTTTTCTTTTCTTTTCCTTTCTTTCGACTTTTCAAGGCTGAAGGCTGGGGTTGTGTCCGTGTGCATGTGGTGCACACGGCCGGACTCTGATCCTGTACGCATGTATACGACATATGGTGTACGGCATATAGTATAACTATGTACTCTTTCTGCTTCCATTGCAGGCCCGCGCGGGCTGCCTGTCCATTTACCTCTCTGGGCTAGGTTGTGCGACGTGCAACTTGAGAATCAGGCTGGAACTGGCTGAGCTCGGTTGGCGTTTGATATTATTCGTGGGCGCGTGTGATCAAGCAGAATGATGCTAAGTTTGGGATAAGTTCCGAATCTCATCCATGGTTTACGGAGAGTATGGCGAGGACGGGCCAAAGATAAGATTGGCGCATCGGTCTCGCCCATAACGGACGTCACTACCGAGAAGGTGGGCCAGAATCGAAAGGCTGAATACGTTCGAAGACAAATAAGCAAAATAAGCAATTATGGAACGAGGTGCGTGGGAATATCGATGGATCTTGATGTAGGTGCAGCAGCAGCGTTCCGAGCTGGAGGTGGACGGCTGAAGAGCCGGGCAGATCGACCGCCAGTAAATCCATATTCCTATTGGAGATTATATCCTGGATCCCAAGAGAATTGAGTGGTATGCAAGTTGATCGCTCCTCGGCGTGTCCGATCTGCTTCATTGGCACCTATTATGGGACTATTGAATGCTCGTATGCGGTGACTTGAATTGGATGGCTTCGCCGGCCTGCGGATCCCTAGGATCGAAGCAAATTTCTTTCAATGAAGGATGAGACTTTAAACTTCGATAACACTGTATCCTTGGGGCATAACATGTTTGGCCGTAGAATTTCGACTCGGTCATGAATACGCAGTCAGTGGCGGAAACAGTTGCTGTCCAGCGCCTCGAGGTCGGCATTGGATAATCCAATGGAAACCATGATGAAACATCCACCATCTTCGTTGATTATAGAAGCTTATCCTGTTGGCAGCGGTGAAACTGTGAAATGGTATTATGGACTGATCTACCATGACGGTTGATGACCTGACTTTCTTTGTTTGAGTTCCGATATACGACTAAGAAAATTGGACCTGTAATCGCTTAATGCAAGCTAGCGTTTCCATTTTGCTGAACTGATCCTGTGGACAAGGCGTGAAAGGTTGGGAAGATGGCCAGAATTATCCCATCCAATTCCTAATACATGAGGTGTGCGCTACCCTACACTACAGTATAAATGGAATGAGGTATACGCATTATCTCTGAGCGACTCTTAAAACTAGTACAGAGTGGCGGTGGGTTCACCAAAAGATCACTACTCAATCAAAAAGAAAGAAACACCGATGAACCTGTTCCCCAAAAGTCCCATCACTGTGATTGTGAGACATAAAGCCCAACCCAAGAAGGTCGCACAGTAATCAATGAACAAGGCCAGTGTTACTTACGCTAGCCGCCGGCCTCCAATGCAGAGGTTGAGATCTAAACCAGAGAGCTAAAGCGCAGTCTGGGGTATAGACACGACAAAATTCGAGAGTCGTCTGAAGCCTAAGATTCATGTAAGGAGTAAACACCCCCTGGTAATATTTGGCATGTACATTGGAATGGAGTGGTGCCTGTGAGATTATTACATCACATCCGGGTTCCGCTTCGGCGTGTGCAGATGGACGATATTGCTAAGTAGAACCCATGACCAGGGGATCTGGAACAGTGCTTTGAGACTGGTTAATCATGGCGTAGGCATATAAGCTGTGGCTGCGGGGTTTCTTCCTCGGAGTTTTCCGGTGTAGATCTTTGACCATGCTTGAAATTCCAGCATGCGACCAAGGCTATCTCAATGGCCTCGGTCAGATCGTCCAACATGGCAGCTGACTTACGGATAGAGGTACAAACAGCCCCGTGCTGAATCGTTATCCAATCCCTATATTTCAAGGCGTTTCGTGCTTTTGTAAACAGCGAGAGTGAAGGATCGAGTTCCCATATGACTTCTCGACAATTGGCCAATATCCAGTTGATTTGCCTGATGAACTGAAGTTCACCACTCTGCGTCTCTTTCAACCATTCCACTAATATCTCTTGGTGAAGTTGCTGTAGAGTCCTCAGTGAGTTGCTCCATCCTTGTCCGGGAGTCGCCGCCAGAAGACAAACGTTGTACCAGTCTTTCGTGAGTTCGAGTCGGAGTTCTCGCTCGCTCCATGCCTCATGTTTGATACCGAGAGTTCGGTTGGTAGTTGCCAGATCCATGGCGGAGGCAGCGACCTCCGAGTCGGTTGTTACTTCGATGATGGTTGCCACCCGTCGCAAGCGGTTGAAAGGGCGGACGAAGAAGTTGTGGTCAAAGCCGTTGAAACTAGGTTTGTAGGAAGGATTGAGGTTGAGGTGCCCTCCCTGGAAGGAGAGAGTGAGACGACCAAGTGTCCCCGCGCTCTTGAGTACATTGATCGTGGTTTTGGTATTTTTCCATAAGTAGAATACACCAACCCTCTCCAATGCGCATGGCGATACAAGCCTGACTACAACCTGATCCAGTATATGGAAGGGGAAGAGGCCAAGGGATTCAGGGTGAAGTGCGTTTATGGGGGGTTGGACACTGCCTTGCCTGACCGGAGAGAGACTGCGAGGCTGCGGAGGAAGGTGGCCAAGGGAAATTTTGAAGAAAGGTATTGGTATCGGGACCAGTAAAATCTCTAGCACGCATCCATAGAATAGAAATTCGTTTATCTCGTTGTACATACCCTTGCTGGCCCGTAGAAGACTGGTATAAGCGTCCAGACAGCCTTGCTTAGGCGACGAGGGCTCTGTGTTAAAAGCTTCAGACCAAATCAAGCTCCGAATATCGTATGAGAACATGTCAAAAGCCCCTAGGCCTGATCTCGAGGCCATAGCTGATATATCTAGACCACGGAGGGGACAGAAGTCGGTTCTGACTCAAGTTCCGTCGTGCTCTTTCTTTCTTGCTGGTCATACTAAACAGCCAAAAGCAGGCTGGGAATCTTCATAGAGAAGCAGGGTACCTTTCCATTTGATGAGGATGCATGTTGAAGATAAAAAATAAAGAAGTGAAGAGATCACGTAGGCCAGCTGTTTTCTCAGAACTTTGTTTATAGGTGTGTTACGTAATTCTCTTCTCTGTTAACTACTTCTCGGCGCTCATTTTTTTTGTCTCTTAATGTATTCACAGCCGCATGAGCTTGAATGGGATATGTTTGATACAGTGCAGATGGTGACAATCAAGTGTATTCAATATTAGGGTGACAGTACATCATCTGTATCGTCCACCCATTCATTGATCATCTATCCTAGAGCCTAACTAGGCCTAGTGCCATCAACAGGGATTCCTTCATGGAGAAGATTTCCGACCAGATATGAGGCGAGATATTTTCTGTATTTTTTTGGGGGGAAACAGGTAACAGAGCGAGCAAGCACTAAAAACAATGGAACCCAGTGTAAGCCACTTTGCCTCTTATGATTCATCACAGCTAGAGGAAGGTCAGCTCCCAAGAATTCGACTCCAACCGCACGGATCGGATACAGACTACGCCGTTCGGCCGGAAGGTTTTCTCCAGGTCCGTCCTGATGCCTGGGTTGAACCCTTCAAACTTGTGAAAACGAAACCGGATAGGCTATCCGGATATGGGTTTCCAAGTTCCGGCAATCTCCATGAGGCGGAATTTGCCGATGATCCCAACAACAACACGCCATCAGTGGAGTTGCAAAAAGCACACGTGCCGATATCTCGAAGTTGATTGATGATCTTCAGCTGGATTCCCTGGTGGCATTCCTAAATGCCACTTGCTGACCATTAAACTCACACATCCATGCCAAGTTTGTCAGCTGGCAAGTGCACTGTTTCGGCCCTTCCCGCCCAAATTAGAATCTGACTGGTGATGGTTTACTGCTTCTAGAATGTTTGTTGAAACTTCGAGTCTGCTGACAGCATATTCTGTCCGACCGATCCGAGAATTCCTGTCGCGCGGCTCTTCCCTCGAGTCGTTCACATTCCTGAAGCCAGGTGTCCCTGGCTGAGAGAATGTGTGACTGTGTTTCACCCTCGAGGCAGAATCTGTGCGGAGAACGACTGTGATTCGGTGTGAACTTGGCTGAGCCAACAGCCAGTTAGGCAGTGGCTTGTGTTACATGGAAGCAAAACCAGGGCTTGGAAAACGGAACTGGGGTTTGCGACTGGCATCTTCTTCGACCAAAAGAGTTTGACTTCAGCTAGGCGCCCACAATTATTGCAAATTGCAGGTCCAGAATCAGGTTCCCGTGGAATCCGAGATCAACATGGCCTGGAGAACTACGATTGGCCGGCTCGTGAGATCCGTGCCGCCATTTTGATTGACTGCGGATTGGGAGATGGAGGTCTGAGGTGGGTGACTGACTGACAAATGTGAGGAGCTTGCGAGCCAGCCAATGATATGTGTCGCCTACTGTTTGTTCCTTCAGCCCTACTAGCGTACTTACCGGCCCCCCGCTAGCGTCCGTTAGACTGGCCTGGGAGGACGAGGACCGAAGAGACCGGACGGTTTTTCGAGTCAACTTGTTCAGCCCCATCTCGGAGTTGTGAGGAAAGTTCTCCAAATATCGCGCAAGTTTCAGCGATTCCTTTCAGTACCGTCATCGAACGGTCAGCTGCACGGTTTTGAGGCTCCTCCGGAAGAGGGGGATCCTCAGCTGAAAAAGGCCTGGAACGCGTGGTATCCCTTGCAAGGGATTGATTATGGCGGTGTTCCGACGGAGATAACAATTGCTCCCTTCCTGGCTCAACTATTGGGCGACAACCTCGTTCCCAAGACGGTTTTTACGTTGAACCATCGTATTAATAGCAGCAAATGTCGAGTCCACGAGCAGGCGCCCGGACTGGCATGTATCACAAGCACCCTCACCACGAGTTTCATGTCATGGCACTGCAGATCGGGTCGGCAAGGAGGCTTCTTGGGGCTGAGGGCATTCTGGCCCCAAAGACGAGGGAATGGACATGGGCCACAGGTGGAATTCCATTCTGGCCCGATAGCGCATGATCCACTCTTGTTTAACTGCGCCGTTGACTTCCTCGTTGTGGTGATATTGACGACCAGATATTAATTGTATGGGCTTAATGAGATCTACAGTGGACTAGTGACTCAGTATGAACCATCCAAGGGATTAAGGAACAACTGCGCTCCTCAGATCCCCGAAAATGCCGACTCGAAAAAAAAAAAAGAGAGAAGAAAACCCCGGACTGCACCAGAGACTCAGATCTCGGTATGTATCCACCACTCTGGAGCGTGAGATCTTTATCCTTAGTCGAGTTGCCAAGATCAAGGGGTGCAACGTGGTCTAAATCGAGACCGTGCGTTTCAATACTTGTGCCATTCCTCCTCTGCGCATTTCGCCCGCATTTCAGACGCAAGAGGTCATTTGGAACGCCTGGCTCCCAACTTTGAGAATGGAGGGTCGACTGTGATTGGGCAAGGAGCAGATTCTTCATGCAAGGTGGGTGATACTGAAATGCCATCCCAAAACCATCTTCGGCCTTCGCTCTCAATTTGTCATTGTCCATAAAATCAATGTGAGCGGAGGGGAGAATGGACCGAACTCCAACCTCAACCATCGAAATGTCCATGGGTTTGAGATTGAAGGAAAGAATTACTCCGGGCTTTGGGTTTACCATGAGTTAAATTCAGCGGAGACAGGCCAAGCTCCAACGAGCCTTGATCTCGCGGGCTGTGGTTCGCCCAATGGATCAGAACGCTGCAGGGTCGGAAAGCGTCCACCGGTTTTTTCATCTCCAGACTCCGAATATTAATAATTCGGTGTAATTATTGATCTGGAGGCGCTGAGGGACGAGGATGCATTAGGCCCGGGCTAGTACTATTGGGGCTCTATTCGGCGCTGCCAGCCCCCAATCTTGGAAAGGCCCGGAGTATCTTCGAGCGACAACGATTCTATTAATTGACTAAGATAGATAGTGGAAAGATGGTGGATATAATTGAGGCAGGGTTTCGAGCAGCGCATCCCAGCAATGTGTACTCTGGGTCGAGATGCGGAACCTTGGTGAGGGGTGAAATGTGCAGCAGGAATTTGGATTATGCAACAGATGCAGCTTGTGGCTTGAGAAGGATCAACAGACAGAGACAAAGTTGTCTGGAATAATCACCGTAAGAACCTAAGAAGTCTCATTTAAAGGACCTGGATGGCAGCGACCAGCTTGTGTAACGTGGTGATGATACTCAGGACCATGAATCTGTCCAGTTACTGCCACTGACTGCACGCACTCTGTGGTCTCAGGTTTGGGCTGAGTTGGGAGGGCACTTTGTTTCAGCTTTCAAGACATGGACCCGCTCGCTCAGAATTACCGACTTGGTTGGTGCGTGCGTGTTGGAATTCTCGCCAGACAGGCAGAAGAACCATTTAGCGTTGGAAGGCACGGAGAGACTGACAGACCGACGGCATGTGGGCTTCTTGTCCAACCTCCCCACACAACGTGCAAGGAAGCGATCAAGGGGCCACTCCTCCCTGTGTTCCTTCGCCTGGCTGAGGAGGCTTTTACAAGCCCATTATTTTTTTTGGGCTTCTCACTCATCGCGACTGAAGATTTGCTCATCCTCCATTCTTGACCAGCGAATGAAAAGCCCCTCATCTGCGTTGAAAATTGCCCGGCGTATTCGGATCGCAGTCTCGTACTCGTCTACGTTTTCCAGCCTTTTCGACCACGAGCCCACTCTTTACTGGAAATGAAAGAAAAATAAAATAAATAAATAAATACTAAGCTAAATCGGAAACCCAAAAAACCAACAAAGAGATGAGTGAAGAGAGGCTGGAAAAAGGAAACAGTGATGATCTCCCTCCTGCACTCGAACGACACTTGCAGAGTCTCCTGGGATTGGACCGTGGCTCATCTTCACACCTCTCAGTCACAATTCTCTGGGCGCTTCATAACTCCCTCCATGGAAGCGGCGGAATGCTGGACAGTGGAAAGTGAATCGCTGGAACCACATGGACGGTCGAGGACTGTGGAACATTCCCAGCACAGCCCTGGTTCCCTGAATCTGATTGCCTGGACTGCAGCCTCCGGCCCTCCAGGCCCCCTGCGGAGGTTAAAAAAAGGCGCTCGGTGATATCGGGCATCCGGGGTTCCGCGACAGCAGTCGAGCAGCTCGCAACAGCCTCAAATCGCCAGTGACGCAGCCCTGCATTTCCTTTCGGGAAAGGTGCCTCACCCCCCCCAGCACATGGTCGACATGCTGGCCAAAAAAAGAAAATTAATTAATTAATTATTCCATAACCCATTCCACATTCACTCAGCTAATCGCACGGACTGATCCGCTACCGCAACGGCTCAATCGCGCGGCCGTCTTGAACTCGGAGTCCGGGGGCTGAGCAAGAGAGCTCCGTCCGCACTCGTCTTCACTGTAGTGATAAATACTAGCCATGCGCCGCCCTGTTTGAGTTGTCTCCGTGGACCCAACTGACAGCCTTAGACTCTCGGAGTATTTGGACTATATAGTCAACCCACTTCCTCCTACTCAGACTCCTACTCTTTCATACTTATAGTCCTTCCCCCACTCCAAGCCTGACCTTGCACCAATCGGCACTCTAGCTACTACAAAATGCATCGTTCAAACGGTTATTCATATTCCACAAGCTCCAGAAACCACGGCACGAGCAGTGCCTTCAGTCCCAATGCCAACCCTAATGAGGACTGGACCAAGATCTCCGACTTGGCTGAACGGCGTCGTATCCAGAATCGCATTGCCCAGCGCAATTATCGTACGTACCGTGCTACAATATGAGCCATCAAAATCATTCTAACTCTTGCGGCAGGCAAGAAGCTGAAGCGCCGCCTGGAGGACCTTGAAAAACGTGCTGCCTCCGCCTCCGAATCCCCAGAGCGCTCTCTC